GGGGGGGGGGGGGGGGTGTGTGGGTCGGTGTATGTGCGTATATAGAGGTGCATGCCTATATGAAAGACGTGCCCTTGACCGCCTTGGCTGTCTTGCCCTGCAGGAGGGTGGGGAGGTACTTCTGCGCACGGCTCGTCACGTGATTCTGGAGTATGTCGATGGCCTGCTCGATGGCCTCCAACTCCTCTGTTCGCAGCTGCACACACACATCATCACACACGCCACGGCAGAGGTCATCTGTGCACGTGTCTCCCTCTGCACATGTGCACCGACCTGTTGTCTTGAGTCGAATTCCTGGTTCTTGGTCTCGCATTGGGCCTTCAGGTCACTGAGGTACTTGGTGTCCGCGTCATGCATGGCTGTCGTATCCGCGAGCTCTCCTTTCTTGTCCCCGCTGCGCTGCAGCTTTCTGCCCCTGATGGCGGCCTTGTCGTCCCGCGACTTGGTGGCCTGCGCCACCTGGTTCTTGAGGTCTGCCGCCAGCATGTCGTAGGCGTGTCGGGCGTTGCCCTCCTCCTTCTCCAGCTGGTTCCGCTCCTCGATGAACTTGTCCAGGAGCTTCTCCAGCATGTCCACCATACCGCCAGACTGGAACTCGTAAGCATGGGCCTCGGGCGCCTCGAAATCGAGGCCAGTGGTGGCGTCGGGGTCCTGTGCGAGGAAGGCCGTTATGACGCGTCGAGCATTGTCGGGGATGGTGGTCTTCCTGAGGACGATCTGCAACAGCCCCGCCGCGGCTTGGGGCGTCGGCTTGGCCTGGCTCTTCAGCACCTGGATGGCACGCTCCAACGCATCGATGGATTCAGAGTAGTCTGAAGCCAGCCACGGACAGACAGACGCACCAGGGATGGCTTGTTGTGCGCAGTAGATCTATCTGGTGTCTCTGCCCTTCGCCACCCCACCTGCTCCCTCCCCTTGCCCATCCCCACCTTACGTACCTTTGTGTGTGGCGACCAAGTCGACGTTTTCATGCTGTCTGATCTCTGTGGCATCCTTGTGGTCGGCCTCCCAGGTGGCAATGTCGGCGTCGAGCCCCTGGATGTCGCGGGCCAGCTCCTCTGCGTCGGCCTCCAGCTTGCCTATCTTGGCCTCCAGCTGCTCCATTAACGAACTGCAGACCCACAGCAAAAGCGACAGGATGGATGGATGGATGGATGGATGGATGGGTGCAGCGGGGGAGGGCAAGATCGGCCAGATCTGTGCAGTACCCACCTTGCTTCCTTGATGGCAGAGTCCTTCTCGGTGGAGGTATCGTCACACCATTGTTTGTAGGCTGCGAAGGAGATCTGCTCTGTCTTCTTCTCCTCGGTGCCTTGTGAGTGCATTTCCTGACAGCACACACATATATCAGCCACCCGGCAGCCAGATCTGGTCACCAGATCTATCTGCAGCGGTGCTGCTTCATTGCTCACCTGCAGCATCTCGACGACTTTGCTGACGGGTGTGGCTGCATTGCGGACGAGGGCGCCGGTGCAGACCGCAAAAAGGCAGAGTGCAACCACACCAGAAGAGAGCTGCATCGCTGCGGAGAGTTGGCCAGGTAGGGTTCAAGGGGGTAAGTTCCGTTTTACAGTAAAAGCGCGCAGGCTTTCCTGCCAGAAAGTAAAAAGTCTGTGCGGATATCAGCAGCTGAGTGACATCCACTTGCCAAGCATCCTTGTTCGTTCAACTCCCGCTCGTTTCGTCTCGTCCTCTAGTCCTTCGACACCTCCAGGACCATGTCGACAGAGCGCGAGAAGAATGTAAGGCCCGGCACACAGCCACCCACACACACATGCCACGCCCAACACACGAAAGACCGCCGTGGCGACGAGTCGATCCCACGTCATCGCTGCCTCTGTGTGGTGTGCAGGTGTACATGGCCAAGCTGGCGGAGCAGGCTGAGCGCTATGACGGTACGCAGGCAACCGGGAGAGAGAAGGGAGGGAGGGAGGGAGGGAGGGAGGGAGGCGACGTGCCATCTCACCCGTGTGTGTGTGTGTGGTGCGGTGGTCCTCAGAGATGGCGGACTACATGAAGATTGTGGCTCAGAGTCTCCCCGGCGCCAAGGAGGAACTCTCCGTCGAGGAGCGAAACCTGCTGGTCAGTCAACGGGGTGGGGATGTCGGGGATGGGACATGACCACACGCACCGCACAGAATAAATGAGAGACGGACGCCACGCCATGCGCATGTGCGTGTGTGATGTGTGTGACGTATGTGTGGTGATGCAGTCGGTTGCGTACAAGAATGCGGTGGGCAGCCGTCGTGCGTCTTGGCGCATCATCAGCAGCGTTGAGCAGAAGGAGAAGAGCAAGGGCGCCGTCGAGAACGTGGCACGCTGCGAGGCATACCGCACCAAGGTCGAGACGGAACTCAACAACATCTGCAACACCGTGCTCCAGCTCATCGGTCCGCGCAAGACACACACAACACACACGCCTGTGAGTGCACCTGTGTATCGTATGTGTGTGCGTTGGTGCAGACGAGTTCCTCATCCCGACCTCGCAATCGGTAGCACCCACAAACACAAAAGGAGGGAGGAGAGGTCGTGATGTTGTGTGTGTGGTGTGTCCTATCCTCCTGTTGTGCAGGGTGAGAGCAAGGTGTTTTACTTCAAGATGAAGGGGGACTACCACCGCTACGTCAGCGAGTACTCGACCGAGCAGGCCAAGCAGACTGCGGCCGAGGCGGCCCACAACGCCTACAAGGAGGCCACCACCATCGCCAGCACCGAACTCTTCCCCACACACCCTATCCGACTCGGACTCGCACTCAACTTCTCGGGTAAGTAACCAACACACACACAGGTGTCCTTGAGTGGACCTTCCCTCTGTGTGTTATGTGCCATCCATCCATCATCAGTGTTCCACTATGAGATTTTGAACAACCCCGAGGAGGCGTGCAAGATGGCCCGCCAGGCATTCGAGGACGCCATCGCCGAACTCGACAACGTCAGGTACGCCAGTAGGGACCTGCAGCTCACTACACAAAAGACGCGCACTTAGCTCTCAGCAAGGCCGTTCTCACTCTTGTGTGGTGTGGTGTGGTGTCTTGTGTGTGTGTCAGCGAGGATTCGTACAAGGACAGCACGCTGATCATGCAGCTGCTGAGGGACAACCTCACGCTCTGGACCTCGGACATGGCCCCCAACGAGGGTAGGCCACTGCACTGCACACAGACACACACTTGACGTATGCACACATCATCGCTTCCTCTCTGCTTTCTGTGTGTGCAGAGGGCGAGCAGTGAGTGTGGTAGGTGCAACACCCCATCCCACCCCAATCCCACCCCATCCCACCCCCGCCCCACCCCACCCCACCCGTCCTGCCTGCCTGTGCATTCATTCCATCGCTGCCTACCTCTCTACTCCGCCTGCCGTCCGTCGACCGCCCTCCATCCCATGTCATCACGACGTCTGAAAGTGGCCAGAGGCCAGCTCTGCCATCCCCCCGCCCACGGCTGCCCCATGCGGTGGTGTGGTGGGTGAGGGGTATGGCGGCTGCTGAGGGCTAGGCTGCATAGCTCGTTTGAACAATCGATGGGGGCGGGAGACTGACTGGACGGCCTCACTTGCTACTTACATATACTTGCTGTCTGTGCGTGTGTCTGTGTGGTGTGTGGATCTGGCTGCCACCGGCTCGCCTCCATTTGTTTCAAACACAACACCAGTCGCTCACCGCCCGCCTCATTGCCTGTCTACCTGCCTCGACCTATCTGTGTTGTTTCTTCTTGAATGAGCTGTGTGATGTATGTGTTGTGTTGCCCACGTTTTTCATCTCTCCTTTGTACGAATGAATGCGTGTGAGAGTGTTCCCAAGCGGGCGGGCGGGCGGGCGTGGCGGGTAGGCAGGTGAACATGTAGTTTGTTCGCTGTGTTTGCGCCGACAGACAGACAGACAGACAGACAGAGAGGTGCTTGATCCCGGCCACAAGGAGATAGCCAGAGGGCACGGTGCAGTGCACACAGGTAGACGAGGGTGTAGCTCACGACCAGACAGAGCGGATCGTCGGATGTAGGGCGTACGCACCGCAGTGATGGTTGATGGAATGGACGGATGAGGGTGGACACTACACAAGGGGATGAATGGCATGGATACGCACTCGCCCGAGGACAAAACCAGAACACAGCTACACGCCTCGCTCTCTTTTTGCTCACCATTGTATGTATGCTTCCTCCTCTCGTCTGCCCGGCTGTGTGCGATACGATACCTGTCTGGGTGCCTGGATGGCTCAAGTGTGTGAGAAACAAGTGGCGTTTTAAGCCACCGTATCCTGCCACAAGCCGCCTCCAACCAGACCAGACCAGGAGAAACCAGCCAGCCCAGCATCCTCATTTGATCAGACCCGACACAATGACTGACTGACTGACTGACTGCCTGATTGACTGCGTGTTGTGTGTACATGTGACCCATGTGTGTATGGAGCGGAACATGAATCGATGGTTCCACCCTGCGTCTGCATGCGCACGGCATTCTCGACGCTGCCCCATTGGCCCTGTCAGCCCACCACAGCTGACCGGTGCCGATGGGGCGACTGCGGATGCTGGCGCAGCAGATCAGATGGAGACCGATTGAGTGTTTTTCGCCTTTACGTGTCGTCTGGCTGACTGGAAGGACCAGGGGGGGATGTCTTGTTTCTACTTGTACATCCGAACATCTGTCTGTCTGTCTGTCTACCGATCCGATCCACAGCCTTTGTGCGTTCGTCTCTTTTTCGACGGGTCCCTCACGAACACCACGCACGGCGGTTCAGTGTCCGCTTCATGCTTGACCCATCGACCGTCCCACACTGACTGACTGACTGACTGAGTTTCTTTCTATGACTGATGGCTGCTGCTGTGGGCTTGACCTTTCTGCTCCAGTTGGCCTCCTTGCATGGCGTCAGCCGCAGAGCCACCCATGACACCAGATCGTGTCATGGCCGCTCTGCAGCAGACATTGTGGAAGGACGATGACTGGGCGGATGGGTGGATGAGTGAAACACAGGTCAGACAGGTACGTCCCTTAATTGCCGATCTCTCAGACAGACAACAGTCAGAAAGAGGCTGCGTGCGTATGTACGGTCGGGATGGGCGTGTCACTTGCTGCTGCTGCTGCAGAGGAAGGAAAGGCGTCGCTTCTCACTTCAATGACTGACCGTGCCTGCGTGCCGGTGGATGGATCCGTCGCCTGGGCTCAGCCAGCTATCCATACCAACCTGACTGCCGCATCCATCCATCCATCCATCCATCCATGTGTGTGTGTGTGCATGCTTGTGCGTGTTTGCGTCAATCGACATGCTCTAGACTACTCTAGACTCATGAGTGGAATGAATCAACCAACACTCATGCAACAAACCTGACTCCGTGAAACACTTCAACCTCCCGAACCGAAGCGGATTTCCTATCAGAACGCATCTTTGTATCCTTGTGAAGTGTTGACGGCTGCATTGGTGTAGGGCAGCTGCCATCCGTCATTGACCGGCCGCCTCTCATGCACATCACAAACGGAACAGATGCGCCAGAGGAGGCAGCACGGGGCGTCGAGGCGGTGCCCACCAGGTCAACAAACACGCCCAAGGCACAGCCAGCCGGCATCCTCTACGCATGGCATGTGTCTTGTCTGTGTGGCTGCAGGTATGAGGTGACGTTGTTGCTGGAGCACCTCGGCCCGCCTCCCAGATTCGCAGGAGAAGTCGTCATAGACATCACTGTGCTGAGGGTAAGTACACGGGTGTGCAACACACACACACACACACACACAGACGCACAGATTTCTCTCTCCCCTTCTCTGTGTCTGTGTGTGCATCAGGTGGGTCCTGTGATTCTCCTCCATGCGCACCGTGAGTTCCTCCACGTGCGGCGGGGCTCCATCCTGCCGCGGGACGCTGGCCAGCCAACAGCGGCCTCAGAATGGCAGCCCGTCGTCCTGGAGGGACGGAACAGCAGCACAGATGTGGACGTGCTCGCCGTCATGCCCACTACCGTGAGAGCACCACGCACACACACTTGCAAACACGGCACGACAAGACAGGCGTGGTGTGTGTCCTGTCGACTTTTACCTGCAGCAGGAGAATGAGTGCGATGCTGCTGAGGGTGTTGGTGCAGCTGCGGTGTGGCAGCCAGGCGGGTATCGTTTGTGGCTGAGCTTTGACGGCATCGGCGAGGATGATTCCGTAGGGCATCTGTCGGAGGACCTCAGCAACAACAAGGGACTCTTTTCATTCCACCACATGTATGTGTGGACACAGCAACCACCAGATTCATGTGTGTGTGTGTGTGTGTGTGTGTCAACGCCTTCTGTCCCGTGTGCTATGTCCAGAGCTGATCTGTCATCGTTCGAGCCGCACCCAACCACCAGCACCAGCGCCCCTGCTGCAGCATCGTCAGCCGAGTCCGCCCCCACCCAGCCCCTCCCTGCGGCAGCCATGAACAGCGACAGCCCCTCGTTGGTCGAGTCCATCGATGCCGCCTTGGAGGCCTGGGGGATGGGGCCGCTGTCTGTTGACGAGTGGGGGCTCCCGGTGCTGGAGCAGACTGCCAGGAGATCCAACTCGCGGCGGACGGTGTGGGGTGTGGCCACATCGCTGGAGCCCATCTTCTGCAGGCGCCTCTTCCCGTGCTTCGACGAGCCGCACCACAAGGTAGGGGATTGATTGACCAATGGTCCTTCCTGCCCTTCCATTAGGTACATCTCTGTGTGTGTGTGTTTGCCAGGTTGAGATGGAGCTGACGTTGGCGTATCCGTGTGAAGTCTTCGAGTTGACGCTGCCCACACCATCGCCGACTGTTCCCCATGGGGCCCCTCATCGCAAGCCCAGCCCGTCGTCGCACATCGTCCCGTCACTCAACACGCCCAGCGGCTCTTCACCCTCCCCCGAGTCGCCATCGCCATCATCCAGCGACCACAACACCCACGCCAGACCACGGCAGGCATCAGCACCACCACACCCACACAGAGCAGGCGGCCACGCACCCCTCCTCCCCGCCCCCGCCCCTGCCCCACCCACCCGTGTGACGGTCACATCGGCCCCCACGGCCATCTCCTGCACGCGAGTCGTCCGGTCGTATGACACGGACGACGTATGCGCTCTCTTGTTCGACCCCCCTACCGGCGAGGACCGTTTCGCCAGCAGAAAGAGGAAACGGCGGACGTCTCGACTGGGGAGAGAGGGTGGGGGCGGTGTTCTCGCGAGGTGGCAGCAGCTGTATGAGAGGGGCAAGGCCAAGCAGATGCTGAGAAGGGGCGGCAGTGGGGTCGAGGGGGCGTCAACAGGCGAGCAGCACGGCAAGAGGGGCAGCGAGGTGAAACGCCAAAATACGGGGAGCGGCCACGACATCGACCGCCAGGAGGAGCGCCAGTCGTGTTCCGACGGCTCCTCGCCGCCCATTCCGCCACGTGTGCAGGCCATGGCAAGGCGGTCCATCACCAATACGAGCACCAGCACAGCGGCGTACGAGGGCAAGTACCGTGTGGTGGTGTTCGAGCCGACTCCGAGGCTGCCGTGCTATGCCTATGGGTTCTACATCGGCCATTTTGGCTCCTTGGGTGGGCGCGTGGAGGTGCCCGTCCCGGCCAACACGCCAGGGTGTGCGGAGGGCAGGAGGACCGTAGATGTTACGGCATGGATGCCCCACGGTCAGCCACAGACACCGAAAAGGCATATGGGCGTGTGTGACAGCAATGCAGTGGGTGCTTTGTCTCTCTCCCTCTCTGATGGCCGCAAACAGGTCGTGGGTCGGGTCTCCGGTTTGCGCATGAGGTCGGCATGTCGGCGTTTGGCTACTTCGAGAACACTTTCGGCGGTGGTCTCGGCGACGGCTGCGGTGTGCCATATGCCCTCTCCAAGCTGGACCTGCTTGGCATCAAGCCGCACAGAGGGATCGGCCTGGAGAACTTCGGGTGCATCACATTCGACATAGAGTGAGTGGGCGGCGCGATGCACACACAGAGAGCAGATGCGACAGAAATGCATGGTGTGTTGGCTGTGGGTGTTTGGCTGTGGGATGCAGTTTCTTTTCTGTGAGCGACCTGATGACGGGCTGGTCGCGTCGGAGGCGCATTTCTCGCCTCATCTGTCACGAGGTGTCGCACATGTGGTTCGGGGACTGCCTCACGCCACACACATTCGACGAGGTGACCACGTACAGCCCTCCGTCTCCCCCAGCCTCCACGTCTCTCTCTTTCCTTTTGCTGCGTGCAGTTGTTCCTGAAGGAGGGCGTGGCGCGGTATCTGGAATTTGTGGCCCTCGACGACATCCTGTTCGGCAGCCCCGCCAGCCGCCCGCCGCAGGAGCAGCTGACGGCCCGCAACTGGGTGTGGGTCACCTTCCTGCTCGAGGTCTTCTTCGAGGCCATGCTGGACGACTCTACGTACGCTGAAGTGACAGTCATATGGAAGGCACCTCATGTAGCACACGCCTCTCCCTGCCTGTCTCTCTGCCTTCTCGTGCATATACACAGGGGGTCGACGCATCCCGTGGCCCTGGAGGGGCTGGATGGTGTTGACTCGATCATCAGCCACTTCAATTTGATCACCTATGGGAAGGCGGCCTGCATCTTCAGGACGATCGAGGGCCTCACCTCACGGCAGGCGGTGATGAGGGCCTTCCAGCTGTGGATGGCGAGGCACCAGTACGCCTCCACCACCAGGGCCGACCTCGTGGCGTGCATGCAGGGGGCCATGCGGGACCACTGCCGGGTACATGACCACCAGCTGCCTGCAGGTGTGACGGAGGCGTCGCTGGCGGACATGTTTGAGTCATGGGTCACCACCACACGATGCCCCAGGTGACTGACGACACAAGAAAGAAGGGAAGGTGGGAGGACGGCTGCTATGTGTCGTGTCTGTTTGTGCCGTGTTGTGTGCAGGGTCACGATCCGTCTGGATGGCGTAGAGGAGCGTGACGGCGGCCTCGTTGCAAGAATCAACTTCTCACAGTCACCCATCGCCGTCAGGTAAGAACGCTCCAGTGAGTCGAAGTCGCCAAAGACCCCATTCCCCGTCCGTGTGTAAACATGCGTCAGGTCTCAAGTGCAGGCTACCCACCAGGCCATCGTCAGCGAGCTCACCCAACGAGCCGCTGCCGCTGCCGGTGCTGCTGCCGCTGCTGCGTCAGACCCCACGCCCAGCTGTCCCCCCCGCCCCGTCCCCCTGTTCTTCCGTCTCAACGGGCGGCAGCACACCTTCATACTCACCGACGAGTCGACCACCGTCTCGGTGCCGCTGCCTGTGGACGGGGCCAGCAATGACAACAGGGGAGATCAAGACCGTTTTTCATTTGTGAGAGAGAACAGAGGTGGAGGTGCATGTGGCCGGCGGCAACCGCGTGTGTGATGTGGTGTGTGCAGGTGTGGAATAGCGAGCGTTTCGGCTACTGTGTGGGGTTGTTCGACGATCAGCGAATATGGAGGGCGGTCGTCAGGGCAGCAACCACACCGTTCAGGTATACACACAACACACAAGCGCATACAAGCCTTGTACCAATGTCTGTCTGTTCGTCTGTGTGTGTATGTGTGTGCAGCGACGGTGGGTATGGTGACGCCGAGTTGTGTGGTTTGATAACCGACCTGATGGTGCAGCTGCGGTACCTGCTGCTTGAGTTCCACTTCTTCTCAAAAGAAGCGCCCACGATCACACCAGAGGCCGAGGACAAGGAACACGCCAATGCAGGTACCTGATGCGCACGATTCAGAAGAACATGCAGGAAACATCTGTATCCACGTCTATCTGGGCGCTGTGCTCTGTGTGTGTGCAGATGGTTGTGACGGTGCGGTGGCGATGGATGTGGACGAGCCCCCACCACAGCCACATGATGACGACCCATTAGAGGAGCCCCCCCGCGCCCCATCCCCATCTCTCGTCAACAGCGGTCCCAAGCTGCCGGCATCCCTTCACCAGGTGTGTGTTGAGGTGCTGGAGGACATCGCACGTCAAGTCCTGACCATCGTCGACCAAATTGAAGACGTACGCAGGCGAAAGACAACGAGCTGAGCACAGTGCATCCATCTCTGTGTGGTATGTCGATTGCCTGCAGCTGGCGTGTGCGGTGTTGGCCCCCTCCACTCACCCATCGGTCGCGAGCGACTCTCCAGTGGGCCGCAACATCCTCCACGCCCTATACATCAAATGCCAGGACCTCAGACTCACTCCCGTCGACAACTGGCGTGCCAAGGCCGGCCTGCCGCAACAGCAGAGGCCCGAGGCAAGCGTGCCCCTGTTCCTGCCCGCAGACCCGCCCGGTGCCTTCCCCCCAGCGGAGTGCCACCCCGACTGCTGCCCGTCGCTGCGTGCGCTGCATCCACCTCCCGCTCGTCAGCCGCAGATGATGTCGGCGTGTTTGCCGAGGTATTGTGTGCCGGGAATGGCTGAGTTGCTGCAGGCGGCCAGGACGTGTGTGGCGTTTGTGTATCCTGAGGGCGAGGAGCAGGGCGCCGTGCAGGACGACGACAGCTGGTGATGCGCGTGTGGACGGGTGGATGGCCATGGGGGGGCGGGGTGGGTGGGTGTAGTAGGTATTGGTGTATTGCGTGTGTGTGTGTATTTGTTGTCTGTCGTTGTGTGGTGTGTTGTTCATACCATTACCCCACCCAGACTGGGGGGGACCGGCAGTCAGTTGATGACATGGCGTACACATGCCCAGTGAGTGAGTGCATGGTCTTCATGCAGAGCGTCCGTTTATGCGTACCAGACGCCTATCTCTCTATCTATCTATCTATCTTTCGTATCCGTGACATACAGCTCCTCGCACAGCTCAGCACCCGTGTACCTCGGCATAGCTGCTGTACATTGACGGGTAGCCCTGACACACCAAACCAAACCACAACACACCACCAAACCAGCAGCACACACACTCATGCCCGTTTCGTTCATTCCGCATGTTGACACCTTCGTCAAGGGCCCCAGAGAGACGATAAAGAGCACCACACCCAAACCATAACACACCACCAGAACTGATGCAAGGAAGGACACAACACAACAATCGCCCCCTGACGTACATACGTGGCACATTCGCGTGGCTAGGTCGGCTCACAGTGTCTGCGGCAGTAGTGAACATGCTTCGGATCACTCCACCACCTGCACCACGCGCATGGAGGACACGAACAACACCGTGACAAGAAAGCTTCGTATGTATGTGTGTTGATGTGTGCGACCTGGCATCAGGAATGGACAGATAGTTACAGAGGGCGTGCAGCAGGATGGCCGGCACCAGGTGACCCGTCCGGACATACACATAGGCGGCCGCAGACCCAAACACACTCGTGTACAGTACCTGACCAGCTGAGGTGAAAAGTAGATAGCGCACATGGTATGCTCAGCCGACTCAGGTTCCGGCTGTCTTCCTGTCTGCCTATCTGTCTGTCTGTCTGTCTGTCTGGCTGACCGACCGATGTTGAGCAAGGCCTTTGTGTGTCCGTACTGCGGGTGCTGCTGCACATAGTGGTGGCAGTGCGCCAGGCTGAACACAAGAGGGCTCAACGCGACCACCTGCCATGAAGACGCACCTCCTACACACACTCAGACACACACACACCGTCCCGTGTGGATGTTCTGGTAAATGTGTGCGCCAGCCGACCTACCTGCAGCGAACAAGGCGATCACACAAGCCCGGAAGACAAACTCCTCTGCGAAGGGAGCCTGCACACAGGCAGGTACACACGTATCGTGCCTGGGTCATGAATCTTCTCACCATGATGTAGTTGCGGAATGATACCGCGAGGCTCATGGTCGACTGGCGGGCCGAGGGAAGAAACGGCTGCTTCCCCGCCTTCAGCCAGCCCTCAAGCCAACTCTGACACCACGGCAAGCTCACTCATGCCACCATCCTACGCAGGGTCGTCTTCACTTACAGGGTGGCCGACGAGCACATCGCAGGTGGCCTCGACGATGAGGCCAATGTAAAGGACTGACGCCAGCGCCACGGGGAGCAACAGGAGGGACAGCCAAGAAGCACCTGCCCTACCACACACCAGAAAGGATGGTCACACGAGTGAGTGATTGTGCAAACACTCGCCTCATTTTGCCCACCCAAAGCCGATAAGCGTTGCAAAGCTGACTCCTCTGCCCGTCGCCGTATTCGCAGGCTTGGCCAGCAGCAGAAGAGTCACTGCACTCACCACACACGCCAACCTGAAAGCGAAACAGCATCACCTGATTCATCGTTTGGCCTCCGTGTGTGGTGCATTATGCTGTGTGTGTTACCCGCAGCTGATAGATCTCCTCAGGATGACGTCGCTGCGGTCCCGAGGGCTGTTGCTGAAGCCGAACAGCCTCCATATGTACAGACCTCCCACAAACCACACGTCGAAAAGAACACAGCTCAGAATGCACACAGTTGGCGACACACACAGCGATAAAGCGCCCATAGATTTCCTCCCCTAAGCTACTAGCTCGCAGCCATTCTCGGCTCGCATTGAAGCGGCGACAAAGCGGCTTCGCTCCTGTGTTTCCGAGCGTTTCCCTGCTCGCCTGATTGGGCGTAGGACAAACCTCAGCGAATCTCGCTTCGTCCATGGCGTCGGTGAACAAGGTGGACGTGTTCCAGCAGGCCTTGCTCAAGGTCTTCAAGGACTGGTGGGTGCGCAAACGCAGCACGCTTCGGAATACTTCACGGCCAGACTGCTCGGACGGCGTGGTGACGTGTGTGTTTCAGGACGGCGCTTTCGTTGTGTGTTGAGCATGGGATGGGCGGGCGTGACTCCTACAAAAAGAGAGAGGAGCTCTATCAGGCCGTCCTGGACATGTTCATCAACCAACGTGAGGAACAAAACTCGCACACGAAACACGACAGGCTGACAATCGACCCGCCTGTCTGTTTGGCTTGTGCTGCCGGCGTGCCTGCCTGACAGCCGCGTCATCTGTGCGTCGGATCAGCATCGACCGCCTCGCCGACTTTTTGTTTGAGAGGCTGTTGAAGGACTTCAGCTGCAACGCAGAGGACAACAGCCCGGTACGCACACGGACACACATGGCCAGTGAGTGAGTGCTGTGTTGTGACCGTGTGTGGTGATGGCCATCGTTGTTGCAGGAGGAGGTGGCTGGTTTGATCTTGAGACTCTACCAGGAATGCGACGCCAACAACTTCACGCTCGCACATCAGGTCAGGGGACGGACCAACCGGCAGGCGAGAAGCAAGCCCACTGTTTGTAGTGCCTGTCTGTCCTGCGTGGATGGGTGGATTGTGCAGATCCTTCAGGTCCAAGCGGCGCCTGCGAGCGCATCCAAGGGCCAGCAGGGCTTCACCTACATCGACGGTCAGTCAGCAAACAAACCACCCATCTGGACACCATCCATGAGGAAGCACGTGTTGTGCTGCTTTCCTTACCTCAGAGACCGGTGCACCGCTGGATCGCGTGGATGGGGACAGCAACCATGACGAAGATGAGGAGATGCAGACGGACGAGGGTGTGCCATCGCGAGGGCAGGGAGTCAGCACTGGGGAGGCCAGTGGGGGTGGTCAGAGTCAGGGAGGGTCCCAGCCGAGTGCGCCGGTGGTAGATGAGGAGGGTTTTACGATGGTCGTTAGACGGAAGGGAAGGAAGTGAGCGGTGAGTGCTGCTTGGCTGGTGCATGTTTGTTGACCGAAACAAGGAGCGTCAATCGGGGTGCAAATTGACTGAGACGTGTGTGTGGCTTCATGCAGACATGGCTGATGTGTGGCATGAGTGAGTGACTCGTTCTGATCGGGGAAAAAAGAGTCAATGTGATCAATTCACGGCGAGAAACCCCACAGAAAACAAGCAAAAGATAAACCAATCACTCGCTTGTGCGTATACATGTAAATCAATCAAACATCAATCAGCCCTGTACTGATTTTGCAACCGTAACTTGACTTTACGCACATTTGAGAAGGATTGATTCATCTGCGGAGCTCTTTGGGTGCCGACGATGTTCGGACGGCTTGCCGTGCCCTCACTCACCGTGACGCTGGTGGCGCTGCTCCTCGTCACTGTCCGCCCGCGTTGGCTCACTCCCTTCGATTCACTCGCCATCGGCACGAACATCCTGGGCGGAGCCTCCCAATGCCTGGGCACGCATCTGCTCAAAACCAGACATGCACTGGCGACCACCGCGGGTGGATTGGTCTTGTCGGATGGCTGATTGGGATGTTCATGCACTTCGGAGCGCTGGTCTTCACACCTGCTTCGATTCTCAGTCCCACAAATGCCCTCAACTTGATCTTTTCGGCGTGGATCGGCAATGTAAGAAAACATTGCACAGGGGACGTTGGCTCTCTGCGCTCATCAACTTGTTGTGTGTGTCCAGTGCATGTACGGTGAGGTGTGTTCATGGACGGACCAGGTCGCTACGGGTTGCATCGTCGGCTGCATCATGGTGGCCACGCTGGCAGCCGCCGAGCCGTCGTCCCGCCATACGTACCAGGTGGTCACTGGCACACATTGCATAAGACCGGCGGCGCCAGCCACTGTCCCTCTCTGTGTGTCCAGGTCGGCTACGATCTGCTTCACGCGAACTGGCGTTACGGGCTGTACGAGTTCGTGGTCTTTGGTGTCAGTGCCTACTTGTTCACTACATGCATCAGAAAGCTAGAAAGCGCATGCTGCGGGTGAGCACACAGAGACAGAAGACGTCACGGAAATGGTGTCTCTTTTCTCACTGTGTCGATTCAGGCCCACTGCGAGCAACGACGATCAAGCACCCACACCCACGCCTCAAATGCTGCGGCAGCTCAGTGAGTGAGATCATCACGTGATGGGTGACGTTGATGGGCCTTCTGCTGTGTCATGTCTGTCTCAGTGTTCGTTTACGGCCTATTCTCCGGTCTGGTTGGCTCGCAGACACCGCTCGAGATCAAGAATGTCATCGCCTTGTGCATGGTCAGACGCACAGATCACCGAAAACATGGTTTGTGCCTGCTCTTGCAGACGTATGGCCAGGTTGGATCGATGTTGACGTGGTGCGTCAAGATAGCCATGTCGCTCGCACTGGCGGCGATCACCGCTCTACTCCAGGCATGTGCATAGAAGAAAGGGGGGAAAGATGCAAAGGGGAAGGAGAGACGCGTTCATCTATCGTTGTGTCTCTCCTGTAGTGTTGGTACCTATTCGAAGGCCTCTGGAGGGGTTCATCGATCGTCATCATGCCGTCTTTCTACGTCGCCTACTGTCTCACAGGCACAGTCGGAGGTCGCAAAGTCACACTCTTCACTCCATCCATGAATATGTGTGTGTCACTGTGCCCTTTGGACCCATTGTGTGTCTTTTCAGCCTTCCTCAAGTTTGATGAGTTCACCATGTTCGGCGAGAAGCAGCTCTTCGTGTTCATCCTGGGTAAATCGACCGCCTCTGTGCATATACATGTATAGGGTGTGTCGGGGTGACCGTCGGTTGCTTCATCATGGCTGTGCAGAAGAAGTGAGCATTGCAATGGATGCATCAAACTGCACAGACGGATCCTCGCGGGCAAATGTCTGTTTTCTTGCAGTGAGAGCGACATGTTCTTCTCCATCGTCACCGGCACCGGCAACTCGCTCGTAAGCAACCGAAGGAGAGAAGACACAACGGACACAGAACCTAATGTTTCTGTGTGTGTGTGTGTGTGTGTGTGTGCAGGAGGTGTTTGCGACCGCGCTGCCAGGTTCTGGGAGAAGAGGCCGAGTACGTGACTACCGAGAAGATCAAGGAGGTCGGGCGATCTGGGTGGAGGTCGGAGAAGCAACGGTGGCAAGGACAAGGGACACGCAGAGGTCCACTTCACTGTGCGCCTGACCCGAAGGTCAGGCTGAAGACTCACACAGACACAGAGATAGTGAGGGAGAGACACACAAACCCTCATTTCAAACTTGTATGCACACTTCTGTCTGTCTGTCTGTCTGCGGCAAGAAGGTGCAATATTGCTGCCTACATCTTTATATCCCGATCGTGACCTTCTTCAAGGAGCCCCAGCCCAGTCGAGTTCAGTCCCAGACCGTCAACTTCAGTCCAGTCCAGGCCGGCGGTTCCTCCGCGGACAGACAGAGATGGACACACTGAGAAGAGAGAGGGAGAGAGGCTGATTGGTGGATGGATGGATAGATGTGTGTGTGTGTGTGTTGAAGATGAACGCCAAGGCTACGACAGCATCGGCCGTCAATAAATGGACCCATCAATGCATGGCTTTCACCCCAAGAAAGTCAGTCAGTCAGCTACACACGCACTGCCCGTGATATGGTAGGAGCTCTCATGCGGGTACTGGTGTCTTTCCATACATATACATCTCGCCTGACCCAAAAACAAATCGCACATCAGCAGCTTTCGCAGCATCTGACTTCGTCTCATCAGAAGAAAGGCCATCAGAGATACGTCCCTAAGATGCAAGATGGTAAGATGAGAGAGGAAGCCGGTGACACATGGCATGAAACAGTACGAAAGCCGAATTGACCGCAAGAGACACAGCCGACTCTCAACTCACACACTGCAACTTCCCTCCCTCGCTCGCTCCCTCCCTCCCACTCTCTCTTTCCTCTTGACTTTCTCGCATCCGGTATACCTGGCAGCGAGTGCTGCCCACAGGCTGACACTTCAACCAAAGAATCCACTGAAGTTTTAGCGTGAAGAAAGAAGATGTGTCATGTCCGTCTGATGATAGTTTGAGTGTCCACGCACATCAGTCCAGCACTGGACGCATATCGCACTACTCTCTCAGTCCGAAACGGAAACAATGCCTGTGTCCCGACCATCCAAATACACAAGCGAACGCCACGCCACGCTGGCCGGCAACACACATCGACACACAGTGCCCCCCGTCCGTCCGTCCGTCTATGTGCCGGCTGTCTATGTCCGATCCCTTCGTTGCAGCAGGCCTGCGTATCTGCCAAGCATCATCAGGGTCGCCTGTATGTTCACTCGTGTCACCTGGAAACCAAACAAAGCAACGATGAGAGAGAGAAACTGTCATTAAACGTAACCCTCGTCTGTGTGTCCGTGATACTCATACAAATACAGTCCCATCAACAAAGCAACGATTGATTAAACAGTCAGCACATTCAGTACACTCTGCCATCCTCGCTGGCTGGCTGGCTGACCTGAGGGAGGACAGATGCGTCGCAGACCGAGAGGGAATCGATGCCCTCGACGCGAAACCTGGAATCAACCACCGAGCCCATTGCCGCAGAACCCGCCCAGTGATAAGCGGTGGTCCCTGCTGTCTTGACGATTTCCTCCAGACCATCCGCATCAGCCACATCTGGACACACACACACACACACACAGAGGACTCACTCAACTGTGTTGCATGTCTGAGTGTCTGCCTACCTGCCTGCCTGCCTCGCTGGCTGACCTGTCGGTAATGGGGGCAGCACTGCAAACCGCCTCGCGGCCTCAAGTTGGGCACTCACGCACACATCTCCCTGTGGATCGGACTCGCACGCCTCGTCGTGCAATCCCGCCCTCTCCTGAATGCAGGCAGAGACACACACACAGAAGACACCACTTTCGTTCACCGCATAAATGCATGTACCTCCATGCGTTTCTTATCTACATACCGGTGCCAAAGCCATTGCGTGTGAAGACGCTTCTGCCTTGGCCATCTCGAGTTGCTGTCTCAGCCACGTGGCAACAGCGGATTCTCCCCCCAGCCACGGAGAGGCGCCCTGACCCTCCGTTTCTCTCGCCATGACGTCCTGCCGCCTTCGATGCAGGAAGTGCGCATACAGCATGTCCTGGGCCTGCTGTGAGCCAGCAGTCTCTTCAGGCGAGCCCTTCTGCATCGCCTCGAGAAAGGCCGTCAGCGAGGGGAGAGTTGCCTCATCGGTAAAGGATATATCACTGAGGGGGCGTGTTGCGACAATGAGCATGTCGAGCAGTTTGTTGAAGATGAATGCGGGGCAGGAGAGAGGCCCTCTCTCCTGCAGGATGCCGTCAAATTCTCCGCTGCCCACCATCTGCAGGCAGCAGGCAACTCCACACATACACACATGCAGAGTGTCCCTCAGTCTGGTCACTGCATCAGTGTGTGCTGTGCCCTGCCCCTCAAACGCGTATGGTTGTTCTGAGGCCCGTGACGGCACTGCTGATATCGATCCCCTCCTCGTCGCTGAAGAAGTTGCCGAACACAATTGGCTCGCCCCCTTCGTTGACAGTCACGCTGCCCCTCGACTTGGTCACCGGCGGAAAAGTAAAAAACCCTACGACTTTCCTGCACGGATCGCAGAAAGCATCTTGTCTGTCTCTCTGCCTGTGCCTGGGCGCGTCGCGTCTCTTTTCGCTCATCTCCTTCCTACCTGAAACATTCGAACACCGGCTTGAGCGGTGCACACAGGATGCTGTCTTGGTTGTCATAGCACTCAGCGACGATTGACACGAGGAAGTCGGTCTCACTGCAGTCCCGCGTATACGTACATACAATCGAACACATCACACATTACACAGGATCCGAGCGAACACGCCGGGCGCATGAGGCGAGTGCTGATATGCCTTCGTCCGTACGGTGCAGTGCGCAATGCGGTGGGGAGGACGACTCGCGTCGCCAGGAACAGGTCGATGGCCTTGAATCCCGAACCCTCTTCAGAGTTGACATACGTGCAATCCAAACTCACGTCGCCAATGCTGCACGCATCCATACAGATTCAAAGACAGAGGGAGAGATGAATCGCGCTATTTGTGGCACTCGATCACGCCGTCTCACCCGAAGTCGGTGGGACAGTCGGCGCCTGTCACTTGGAAGCCTGTAGTGGAGCCGAGCGTGACATTGAGCTCGCCAGCCGGGATCTTCCTGTCGAGGAAGACCAGCAGCGTGGTCGCGATGCGGTCCTGCAGGTTTTGCCCTACAGCAGGGATGTCTTTCACCAACTCAACGCCCTTAATGTTGCCGACCACTTCCGCGGGCCCGATGCCACTGTTCATGAGCAAGGTCGGTGTGAGGATCGCTCCAGCTGACAAGTAGATCATACCACCAGGCTTGATGCACGCACGTTGAATGTCGCCATGCTTTCCAAGCCGTCCTTTCTTGGACAGTCCTGCGTTGGCACGAGAGTCTATGGACTCAGGAGGTCCTGGCGAATCGACGTAGGCCACACACGTGGCGCGAGGCCGCTCTCCACTCGTGTCAAAGTCGACGCGCAGGACGGTCTTGCGTAACATGACCTTCAGCCCGCTCGGCACACCAGGAGGGTCAGCGAGAGTTCCGTTGAGCAGGACGTCCGCAGCAAAGCGCTTCCGATCGGGCGACAGCTCATCTCCGTCATTCTCGAAAAGGGAGAATGTGATGAAGGAGCCCGCGGCGAGGAACTGTGATGCATCGGTAACAGGGGTGAAGCCGACAACCTCCTGAGCCCGTCGTGCGGCCGAGCTGTAGGGGTCGTTGAACCCCATCGGCTGAGACGTCTGCTGAAAGATCCAAGAGTATGACTGCATACATACACACACAGCCACAGACAGACAGGCGATGGAAGAGAGAGAGAGGAGCCTCACGCTTCTGTCTCTTGCATACTTCGTTGACAAGGTGAGGGTCGAAGGACGCACCAAACTCATCTTCGAGGAAGTGGAAGTACTCAGCCACCTCCGCTATTTGCTGGCCTCCGCTGATAGCCGTCCCACCCGACAGTACAGTGCCCACATGTGTGACGAGCTTGTCGAGCGTGCGGATCTCCTGAGCAAGATCAGGATTGCGCAGACCAGGACCCCATCCCCCGAATGTGAGTGACTCGACATTCTCCTCCCTCCTGCCGCCCCTCTCGATCAGCAGCACGTGCTTGTCATCCTCAGCCAAAGTAAACGCCAGAGGGATTCCCGCAGTACCACCGCCCACCTGCGTGGACACAAGAACACCATCGTCCATGTCATCACATCAAACCGACTGCTGTGCGTGAGCGGGTTCGTATCGTACCACAATGTAATCGAAATACTCAGCGTCACCTGCTGGGCGTGTCTGCAGGAATATGCACGGAAGTGGGATGGTGTCGTGGATGGAACGCGCTGTCTGTCACTGCCTTACTTCATCTTCGTGTGCCCCTCGGTTGGCTTCTTCGCTGGGTAGCGAACAGCAGATGTCCCCGCACAGCAGGAGAAGAAAAAGCAGTAAGCTCATGAAGGGCCTCCCGAGCCAACACTGCTGCCCCTGCGTCCAGGGAGGGAAGAGTGGCAGGACAGTATCATGGTAGTGCTGGCATTGTAGTGAAGGATTGACCACACGGGGAAGCACCGCTTGATGAATGAGGGGGATCTGACTCAGCCGCGATGGCTGGAAGCGCGCTCTCCCTCCTCGTTCGGGACTCGCGGGTCGCAAACCATCGCTTCCAACGGCTTTCGTAAATTTCAAAGTTCGTTGCGCGAGCTTGGCCGTGGAGAGTGGATTCCTCCTTTGAGAAGTAAGGGACCTTCACACACACGCAATTCATGCGCTGGACACACTTATCTGTAACTGCACCTCCTTCGTGGCATGTGTACTGCTGCTCAGGCTGTCGAGATGCAGATCTCCCTCCCTTCCCTTCTGTGCTTTACCGCCCTCTGCCTGGCGTCCACTCATCTGGCTCGTCGTCACCTGCAGGTCGACAACAACATCTCCGCGGCAGACTCAGAGGCAGCAGCAGGCGCCGGTCTATCCTCCTGCCCATGTTTGGATGCAACAGCTGTCACCGAGGGCCTCGCAGACTTCATCACTGCCGAGGGCCTCCTGGCGTGTGAGGCATGCGACAACTCCACTTACCCCACCACATATGGAGCTGACGGATGCAAGGCACACGAGATGACACTCCCGCCATCGTGTGGCGACGAGAGTGGGGCGCCGCTGGCCGATGCGCCCGAGTGGTGCGGGGAGATGTGGTGCTATGTGGACCCTGAGGATTGTGATGGGGTGGATGACGCGAGCGAGAGCAACTACTTCCCCGACTCCGGTGTGCACTACTCCTACCGGACGTGTGGCGGCGACGAGACCTACTGGGAACAAGAGCAGCTGGAGCAGCCATGAGCGACCAGAACGACGCTGCGTGGGTGTGGGTGTTTGATCGATGGATCGATGCATGTATTTATATACGTAAGTTCGTATGTGTGGGCTTGGGAACTTCCGCCCTTTTTTCTCTGAATCATGTGTGACAGCAGGTCACTGAGTGTGTGTGCGCCCGGGGTTTTCCCGCCTTGTGTTTTTTCGGCCCGTGGTAGCAGGTCATCGCACACATAGTGTGTGTCTGTGTGGGTGGCTGTGTGAGTTTTTCGCGTGCCCTGCAGGACGCCGATAGAGGTCCAGTCTGGCTGGCTGTTTTTCTGTCTGCCTGCCCATTGGCTCCCCCTCTCTGCTGGACATGTATGTGTGGATGGCTGCTTTTGCCATCGCTCGTGAGTAGCACAGGCTGCCTGGGGAGGGTGTCGGTAAAAGGGTACGTCACTAATACCAGTCATTGTGTGTATTGCATGGTTTTGTGTCAATCACTTGCTGACTGACTCCGTTGTCATGACTCCTCCGCTGTCTACTTTTCAGCTGCTCGCTGAGCACGGTGTGTCAGCCGATGAGTGGGGGGGGCCGAGGCAGAATGACAATGAAGACAGTGATGCCACTCACTGGCTGGTTGCTATGCATACACACGTACATACACACATGTATCTCCTTTTGGCCTGTCGTGTGCTCCAGTCGGATTCGTTCGCCGTCTATCTTTCGGCTTGTGCGAGGGCTGCTCACGAGAGCGCTCTTCATCTCTCGTTGAAGCATCCGTCACACAAGGCCGACGCACAGACGAAGGACGACACACGCAGAGCCACTAGTGCTAAGACGGAGGGTTGACGTGACCTTTCTCGGTGTTTTTTCTGTTGGCTCGATTGCGTTCCTAAGAGGTGCGTCGGTCTTTCCTGCGTGTGGCTTTCCACTCTGTGCTGCTAGTCCGTCAGCCTGCAACTCTACAGCAGCAGCACAGAAACCGTGTTGTGGCTTTGGGGTTGCGGCGCGGGGGACAGAGATGCACAGATGGGGAACGACCACACACTCATGCCTACCTAGACGACGCTGTTGACATGAGCGAGGAGATCTGTCCTCTTTGTTTGGTCAATATTCCATGTCATACACCTGCGTCCAATTGCATACGTCATTCGTGCGAACATGATGCCAATGGACATACATGGGCACATCGATGAGTGCAGGTGTGCATTTTCTGTCTGGGTGGGAGCGGACGTATGCCCGGTCGCTTGGAAGATCTGCATGCCGCCGAAGATCAGGAGGGGGCGTCAGCGAAAGCTTGCAGTCTGCATGCGTTGCAGGGAAAGCTGCGACAGCCCCATTGCAGTGCAAACATGCTTTCTGAGGATTGGGTTCTCGATCGCGGCGAGAGGCTTTGATCCCGTTCAATACCTGGCGACGTGAGACCCTGTGAGATCGTCTGACACCCCCCGCCGAAGGTTCAAACTTCGCTCTCATCGCCGCCTCACTCCCCGACCGCAGGATGCCCATCCAGCAACCGACTCGCCACAAAGCGCCCAAGCGGCGGGGTGGCAAGCGCGTCTTCGCCCTTCCCCTGCTCATCAGCCTACCCAGGGACAAACTCGCAAGGGACGTCGTGGGTCAACTCGCCGGACAAGCAGACGCCGTCGAATGGGATATCAGCTCTGCGCCGGGTCCTCTCCAAACCCGACGGCTGGCTACCCCAGAATGGGGCGAGGTGGCAGTCATCTCGGCACTGACATTTTCTTACGCGAGGAGCGTCTACATATACACAAGCGGAACCGCCACCTGTCATTACGAGCAGCCGGCCCTTCTGCGCCATCTCAGCCACGGCGCCTTCCCTGAGGCGAGGGACCTTTATGTGGGCGACCGAATGCTAGAGGCGGGTGGATGGCTGGCGAATGCGATGCCTAAGCTGCAGAAGTTGCACGTCAAGGGGAGTGCGGATGAGGTGCTGGGTCTGCTGCTGGCGATGGGTCCCCGCAAGACCATCACGTACATGCATGTGCAAATGAGGGAGGTGGAGAAGCTGACGCCCTTCACGTGGGGCGAGAGGAGGGACGAGATACCCGAGATACAGCAGCTGGAAGTCGAGGTGAAGCTCAATGGTTAGCAGAGGGAGGGAACAGGGGAAAGATATTATCGACTTGTGCCTGTCTTTGTTCTGTCTGTGTGTGCAGAGCGTGATCGGTGGGGCGCGCAGCACGTGGAGATTTTTCTCCGCTCGAGCCTCTCATCGCTGTCACGAGTGAGGGGGCTGTGGCAGATCCGCGTGCCGGTCCGCAAGTTCGTCAAAGGATCCTTCGAGCTCGGACCTTCGCAAGAATTTGACATCACATACCACAAGAAGGCCCTCTCGGCTATCCGCAAGCAATGTCCACCGCCCCCCTTGCCCCATGCCATTCCCTTCGCCCCTCTCCCTCCCCTCCTCCCTCCCCCAACCTGTCCCGTTCGCCCCCCTGCTCGAGGGCTGAATCCCGATGCCCCAGCCTTCTTCCCGTCTGCGGCCTCGACACAGCCACCGTCACCAGCGTCAGCCCCCCTCCCCCCTCCTGATCGTGGGTGCCTTAGTGGGGTCGAAGAGGCGGTGCAGAGCGCCCTGGATGAGGCGGACGAGAGGCTCAGAACAGTCACCAAGGAGAACGACGAGCTCAAGGAGAGGTATGCCGATGCACATCAGCTGCCGGGGTGGGCTCTCACATGCCTTTCTCTTTCCTGTGTTGTGTTTGTGCAGGTTAGAGGAAGCGACCAAGTGTGCGGTGTGTTTGGATGCCGACAAGTCGGTCGCCGTCTTCCCATGTGTAAGTGAATCGACCGGCCTGAGACAGTAGCGACCGATCCACCGTGCTTACATGTTCCTTGTGTGCCCTCTGTGTGTGTGTGTGTGTGCGTGTGTCAGAGGCATTTGTACATGTGTGCGGCGTGCGCCCAGCAGGTGATAGCCCTACCTGCTGCCGAGCGGCAGTGTGCCAAGTGCCGCGGGCCAATCCAACGGATAGAGTATATGTACGTGTGAAGGAATGCCGGCAGGGGATGGATGCGGCCATTTCATACCTTTTCCGTGCGTCTGAGACGTGTTTGATCCTCCATTGTAGAGTAGAGGTTTGAGACTCAGGTGCTCCATAGAGACGGTACGTGTTATGGGAATGGCGATTTGCGCTCAACATGTGTCCACACATCACTCACTGGCCATGCAATGAGTAAATACGACGAAGAAGGGAAGGCGCCCACGCAATATAAAATGCAGGCAGCGATACAATGCTGTCTCACGCTTCTTTGTCCTCGTCTGCAGCGAGGTGTCTTCAAATCCACAGACCGCAAATATAAAATGTAGGCAGCCATCTGCACTCACGTGCGTGTACACACAGACAGAGGCACAAACTCCAGTCCATTCGTTGTCTGCAGGACGAGGCCCTCACTAGACACTGCAATCGCCTCACCGTCCACCACCATCCCCATCGGCCGCCCACACGTCGAGGAATGTGTCGAGCTGCCGATACAGCTCTTGGTAGCGGCGGGCGGTGGGTGTGTCAGAGCCGTCCTGCCCCTTCCCCTCCCTCCGCCACTGCTCGACGATGAAGATGCCCACCTCGGGCGCCTCCTCCTGAGGCTTGCCGTTGGGGACCTGGCCGATCTCCTTCTGCTCGTCTAGGTCAAACGGGACGAAGGCGAAGAGCCGATCTGGGGTGCTCTCGTCGAGGAGGGCTCGTGGGAGGGCGAGGTCGGTGGGGTACTCCTTCTCCAGGTAGGTGCGCACGTTGGCGGGCGAGTCGAGCAGAATGGTGTTGACCGAGTCGATGTGGCGGGCGGGGGAAGGGGTGCCGGGGGAACAGCTTTGCAATGACTTTGCCGTCGTCCCCCCGTGGCCACGTGATCTTTGCCAATGTGTCGCCGTGCAGATAGAGGTCGCTGACAGCGTGGTCCGACCCGACAAGTTGGTTGCGCTCGAGGGCCACCTTGCGGCCTCTGATGGTGAGGATGTGGACGCCGAGGATGCGCCGGCACATGTTCAACACATCATGGGAACGTTCCTCTCGTGCAGCTCGGTCGTGATCGAACTGTAGCCCTTCTCCGCAGCATTACCTGCAGTACACAGCACAGCACAGCACAGACAGACCGGTGGAATGCTGTGACGTATCTGTCCCTCCCCCTCCTCATTCATGCCCGCCCAAGAACTTCGCCACCACGACACACACGCGCTCGCTGTCCCACCCACTCGTCCAGGAATGTGTCGAGCTGCTGGTAGAGCTCGCGGTAGCGGCGCGCGGTGGGTGTGTCAGGCCCGTGCACCCCCGCCCCTCCCTCCGCCACTGCTCAACGACGAGGACGCCCACCTCGGGCGCCTCCCCCAGTGGCTTGCCTGCTCGCCTAGGTCGAAGGGGACGAAGGCAAACAGGCGGTCACTGTTGCTGTCACGGCTGAGGGCCTCTGGGATGGTGAGGTCAGTGGTGTACTCGCGCTCCAGGTACCGGCGCACGTTGGCGGGCGTGTCCAGTAGTATTGTGCTGGCGAGATCTATGTGGAGGGCGACGGAAGGGGAGCCGGGTGGCAGCTTGGACTTCACCTTGTTGTCCGCATCACGTGGTTTCGCGACGGCCGTGACAGCGTTGGTGGCGAGATACAGGTCACTGACGGCATGGTCAGACCCGGCCAGATGGTGGACTGTCAGGCCTGCCTTGCGGCCAGGGATCGTCAGCACGTGGATGGCGAGCAGCTGCCGACAGTTGTCGTCGATGAGGGCCACCTTTTCGAACCACTCCTCCCGATCGTCGGTCAGGAGCTGCTCTCGCGTCTTCGAGACACTGACAGCGGACAGCGAGGTGGTGATGGAATTCCAGCCGGGGGGAGCTGAGCGAGCAGTGAGTGGACATCACAGACAGACAGAGGAACCAGTCGCTGTTCTACACGTAGTGCTGTCTGTGTCCCCCTCTCACCGAGGAATTCCATGACCACTGCAACGCACTCTTGCTGTGGTCCGTCCTCCTCCTGCAGAATGGCATCGAACGCAGCATCGCCTAGTGGCCGGACGAAGGGGCTGGTGAGGCGCCTGGTGGCTGTCAGCAAGGTTGAGGCAGAAAGCTTCGAGCTTGGCCTCAGTCCTCTTGCTGGGCGGAAGGAGCTTGAACAGAACAGGTCTGCCGTCGTCCAGCACCCCGACCTTGCCAGTCGGGGAACGAGATCGAGTTGGGGCGGCAGATGATGTTGGTGGCCTCGAGTGACACGATGCGAATCTGGCCGACCTTGGACAGCGGGAGGCCGGTACTCACGCACGGCAGATGGTGCGGCTCGTACATGCTGCCACGCCGGAAGCTCCCTGTCCCTCCCTGTCTCCCCGTCTCCCTCCCCCCTTCCCTCCCTCTCCTACCAGTCTGATCAGGAACCGGGATTGCAATGGCCCCATGTTGATCCGCATCTCTGGGAGCGACCCGCCAGGCACCCACACGACCAGCCGCTTGAGCTCGGGACGCCACTCCCACTCCGTCTCAGCTTCCAGCAGCAGACCCGCCCCGTCCCCAATGAGCAGCGTCACGCTCCTCGGCCTGTTGAGCAGTCCTTTCATGCTGAGACGGATGTTTTTGCGGCCATCTGCTGTCTGTGTCCCACGTGTCTGCCATGTGTTGCTGGGCGCATCGATGGCTAATCTGAGGCACACACACAGCCATGCATTGCAACACACCCATTCATGCAGCCATTCACACAGATAGGGGGACAGAGAGAGAAACAGCCATCCATCCATCCACCAACTCACTTGAGGTCCTTGACGGTGTAGAAGCAGGTGGCGATGCTGCTGAAGTACTTGGCCGTCACTGTGAATATGTATGGCCGCTCCAGCGGATGCGTCCTGATATTCCACACGCTGGGCGTCACCGCACCCAAACCGCTGAGGCTGTTGGCCGGTCGAGCGACGTCGGCGCGCGCGATGGTCCTGGGGCTGCAGCTGATGCTGGTGGCCTCGGGCGCCGTGAATTGAATGCGGCCGATCTTGGAGAAGGGCAGGCCTGGGCTCAAACACGGCAGGTACGTGTCGGGGTCGGTGCTGAGAGTGTTGGTCTCCATCGTGAGGGTCTCCTCGTCGTCCGTCAGCTGCGGCCACTCGATGGTGGCGGGGTCCTTCGGCATGTCCTCCTCCTTGGGCGGGTGTATCTTCATGCCGGGGGCTGCTCGCGGTGGCAGCAGAGGAATTGGTGCACCCGTCTTGGCAAATATAGAATGTAGGCAGCGATCTGCACGGAGCCACAGGCAGAGCCCCAGACAGACAGAGACCCAGACAGACAGACAGACAGATGCAGGCCATGTATTCGGCATGTCTCATCGTATGTTCGTTACCCTGCAAACGTCATTGGCCTGAGGGGGGCTCCGCGACCGGTCCCGCGCCTGGTGCGGGCGGGAGGAGTGGCGGGGCTGGTGCTGGTGCTGGTGCTGGTGCTGGTGCTGCTGGAGCGGGGGGAAGGGCAGCAGCTGCGGTGGGACGTGGGGAGCCGGGTACATGTATGGGTGGTGCTGGAGTGGGGGGAAGGGGAACAGACCGCACTGGAAGGCCACGTGGGGTGCCTCTGCCGGGATGGGGGTGCACCGGCCGCGCGGGCCCATGACAATCATCGGCAGCGGGGGTGGGAGTGATGGGCGGTGTGCGGGTGGCGGGGCGAGTGCGGGTGGTGTGGGCGGCATGCCAGCCGTTGGTGCGGCGGCTGCGTCGTCCTCGTCCTCATAGGCGTCGTCAGCGACGTCGTCACGGTCTCCGAGTGGCTGGGCGGCAGCCACGGGTGAGGGAGGAGCCGCATGGGTCTGCAAAGTGGTGCCCTTGTTCCTGATGAGTTGGTCTCCTTGGACCGTTTCTGAAGAGTAGCAAGACAGCACAGGCAGGCAGGCACAACAGACAGATGAGACGGGCCGAAGAACCACCGCTTTGGTCCGTTGTGTGTGTGCCTTGTATGCGTACCAAGATGCCCAGTTTATACCACTCATCGGCCCGTAGGTAGACCAGGTGCTTGAGCTGGGGGTCCATCGTGTCCATGCGCCGCTTCAACTCCTACAGCCACAAGACACACACAGCAGGCATGAAGCGCATGCAAAGCCTCCCCGCCCTCTCTGTTTGCCTCCTCACTCCCCTGTGGGAAGTGGAAGTGTAGAACGGCAAACTTATTCATGTCAGTTATCTCGTCGTCCTGCATCCGCGGCCATTCGATGGTGGCGGGGTCCTTGGGCAGCTCCTTGGGCATCTCAGGCCGGTCGGGCCACGACATGTACGACATGGCAGCTGGCGGTGGGCAGGACAGGAACAACCATGTGGTGGGGTAGCGAGAGGGTGTCCTCGTGCGGAGAAAAAACACACAGAAGAAAAAACAGACAGATGCATTCCACACAAACACAGTGCAGGTTCCTCATTCCTCACTCAGCGGTCGAACAGAATGCGCTCAACTTTCCTCGGTTGTTTCCGCTCACCGGGTTTCTTTTGCTTTCTTGGAATGAAAACGAGTCGCCTGTAAAGCAGCAAAGGCAAAGCTAGTGCACTCTGAACACTTGATTCATTGAATACTTCATTCACCTGTTTAGGACTTCGTCGAGAAGAGGAGACGGCCACCAGGAAAAAAAAAGAAAAAGATTCCATCTGCAGCTGTACACACAACAATGACCAAGGACATACGTGAATTGACCTCTTGAGCTCAAAATTTCATCTGCACACAGGCATTACAACAGATGAGATCACTGCAGCGATGAAACGGACCATCGCTGCATCGTACCATCATCCATACATCGTACCGTCACCGCAGCCAAGCCAAGTACATGACACGTGTACTTCCTGAACGGCGGCGTCGGCGCACTCAGTTGACGCCAGACAGGGTCAGACAGCGCCACCGTTCAGCAAAAAGGAAGGGTGCCACGGCGGTAGAGGAAGGAAATGGCAGGCAAAAGCCGGACGAGTTGGGAGGGGCGGGAGGGGATGGGGCGGACCACATAAGCCAAAAAGCGAGTGAAAAGAAAAAGAAACGGGGGATCTGTGGCCGAAAGAAGGCTGAGAAGTCGAGTGTGGATGAAAATTGGGAAAAGTGGGTCGAATTTCGAATTTCCCGTCCCGTCTCCAATTCTCGCCGAGGGAGATCATTGCTTGCATCATCTGTTCGTGGAGAAAACAGCTGCTCTGCCGCGCCCCGTCTCCGATCTGCGAGCTCGAATGGCGTCTCAGCATTTTGGCGCGTTCGAGCCACCCGTGCCACCCATGTGTGTGTCGTCCTCGGCGGCGATAGCGGGCGATGTGCTGACGGACAGCCCACCCATCCACCAGACGTCGAGCAGGGCTGACGATTTCAGAAAGTGTGGTGGTGCGAGAGCCTTGGGAAGAAGAGCGGCCCGGGATGGGAAGGGAGGGCGGCGGAAGCACAGGAGAATGGAATTCTTGAATGTTTTATTCGCAGTCTTTTTTTGTTAGGGTTTGCGGGGTTAGGGTTTGTGCCTTTCTCGACGGATTCGAGCTCGCGTCCCCGCAGCGTAGAAGTGCCAGTGCCTTTGTGTGCTGTAGTATGAGAACGCAGCTGCCTTCAAGTGCTGCGCATCAGCCCTAAAGATCAGCTGCTGGAGAGGTCAGACACCAAGGAGCTGATGAAGAGGAAGAGGCTGTCCAGGATGGTGCTGCGCCCCTCGCGTTGACCCTCATCTGGCTCCTCGACTGCCAGTCCCTGCATGGCAGCAGCTGTGCTGATCTGATATGGGCATCAGCCTGCGGCGCTTCGGCCACTATCAGCGGTCGAACAGACACTCTCGGCAGTCGTCAGCAGCGCGCCGCGTCCTCTTTGGTCTCTTGCTCGTCCTTCTGTTCGCCTCATCTGTCTGTGTGCGGCCACATCAGCGAATGGAGACAGCCTTCCTGCCCTCCCTCATCCCCCCGGACCCACGCCGCGGCCTGTCCAAGACTGACACGAGTCGCAAGCGGGCCCCTGTGACCTTCCAGTCCGCCAGGAGCCGCAAGTTTGACGGTTTTCTCGGCTGGGTGTGGGATAATTTCTTCTCTGAGGAGAAGCAAGACACAGACGAGGACCAGGAGAGGAGGGGGGGTATGAGGAGGTCAGCCAGCGGTCAGGCCAGATTTGCCCGGGAGGATTTTTTGACCGCCGAGCAGCGAAAGATGGTCCTCATTCATTTCGAAAGGTGAGGGAGGGGTGAGGTGATAGCCAGTGAGTGTCCGACATGGCACGGCCTTTTGTGCTGCGTATTTGTGCGTGCGCAGGAAGATTCGGACTGGGAAGATCACCGAGGATGAGGCGCTTTCACTCATGCAGAAATACAACATCAGCACTGGTACGTCAAGAGCCGTACCCCATGTCCTTCACGCACACCGGCTTGCTTGGTTGCCTTTCCCCTTTCCCACAGAGGAGATCCCTCAGTTCCGTGATCGCCCATCCGCGGCGTCCGCGGCTGGCATCATGCCCGACCCCTCCCCCGCAGCGCCCATTCTTCCCTCCAGCGCCTTCCTGCCCGAGCTGCAGCTTGCGTCCCTCACTGCCGGCACACAGACCGCAGCGCTCTCCACTCAGCTGATGGGCGGCAATGTGACATCCCCTGTTGCCAGTGCGCCTCAGCCTCGAGGGCGGTATGACGAGGTTTTCGAGGTCTTCCCGGCCTATCGGCGCGAGTCGGCACAGGACCTGGCGGCCAGGCTGCTTGAGCCGACCCCCACGGTGCCGCGTTGGGCTGACGGTGGGGAAGACGATGAGAGCCCCATCCAGGTCGAGATGAGCGCCGTCTTCCGCCCCGAGGAAGACCAGTTTGTTTCCGTCTTTCGCCCCAAGGGGAAAGGGTCACCAAGCGGCTCTTCCTACGACAAGTTCGTCTCCCTGTCCGGCGACAAGTCGCAGGCGTCTGACACGTCCTATCCCACCGCACGAGTGGCCGAGCTGGCGTCGGACCTCGAGTCATCTGCTGGAGTGAGTCTCTCTGTGGAGAATGGCGGCGTGTTGGTACTGCAGGCGTCAGGCCTGACCAAGGCAGAGGAGAGGCGGCGGCGGGAGACGGTCAGGGAGGAGGTTGGAAGGGAGTGGCAGTTCCCCCCGGGGGCCAACTTCCAGAGCGAGGCTGAGAGGGTGTCCCTGTCCCAGTTCGGTGCCGTCTTGGGGGCCTTCCCGCCGCTGCCTCCGAAAGAAGTGCAGAAGCTCGCTTTGCGGATGGAAATCGGCAGGTGAGTTTTTTGTCAAGAAGCACATCAACCTTCCACTGATGCACGTGTCGCGCCGTCTTCCGTTTGCAGGTTTGTGCGTGGATTGGAGGTCCGTGCCCGCGAGACCAAGTGGGAGAAGCAGCGCAAGGCGACGGGCGGTCGGTTCAGGGCGTCGTTGTGGAAGGAGCTGCTGGAAGTACAGCCCGTCGACATCCTCCCTGAGCTCATTAGGGAGCTGGTGTCGCTAATGCCCTACTACAATGCCATGCTTGACTACTTCGGCATGGACAAAGAGGCCGGCTTCAAACACAACATCATGGACCAGTAAGCACGCACTCACGGAAAGCTGGACGGACCTCATGCGCGGGATGGGTGCATTGCGCTGCAGGCGCGTGCGTGACGTCTTGGACAAGCCCTTTAACGACGAGCTGCTGTCTTACATCGAGGAGCGGTCTCAGTCGCAGGGTGAGACGTCGATCTCTCAGCAGGAGGTCAAGAAGGCCCTGACCAACCTGTCGCTGGCCACCCGCGCTCTCATCCCCCCGCTGCTGAAGCTCTGCATCGATGCGGCGGGCACCGAGGAGAGGGTCTTCAACCTCGAGGAGCTCGACTCGTGGTTCTACCGATTCAGGGTGAGAGCTTCACTTGTTCCCGGCAAATCTATGCACTCACACATGACCCATTCTCGTCTCTGTGGTTTGTTGACACGGTAGAATGCCCACGGTGTGCGTGTGAGTCGGTATCTGTTGGCCCTTGAGGTGGAGGGAGGCTACGCGAGGAGCCAGCTCACACGGCACAACCTGCGGCTGGCTTACAGGCTCGCTGAGCCCTACTTCACCACCAGAATGGTCTACGTCTCCGACCTGATCGCGGTACGTGAGGATGCATGCCCTCGCCTTCCTGCATCCGTGTCGATGGATGCCTTCTCTCTGCGTGTGCGTGTGTCCCTTCAGGCTGCCATCCGTGGCGTGTCATCGGCCGTCGATGCGTACGAGTACCGCCGTGGGTTCAAGCTGGCGACTGTTATCACAACAAAGGTGAAGCAGGCCCTCCAGGTGTGCATGGCCAAGGAGCGGGCCATGCCCATCACCGTCCTGCTCATGAGGTCACTCGGACTGAGGAACGAGATCTTCAGAGACCTGAAAGCGGTAGGCAACAGCTCGGGGGCACACAGGATACCATCAGCCCTTCACCCACTGTATGTGTCCGTCGCAGGAGCTCGGTCGTGAACCCACCGCCGACGAGATCAAGCAGGAGACGGAGAGGCGGGTAGCCGAGATTGTCGAGACAACCGGCAAGACGCCTTACGTCAAATACGTGTCGACCGACGAATTCGCGCTGGCATCGGGGCCACAAGTGCTCATGCCGAGTACTGACGCCGCATCAGGTGAGCAAAGCCACCACCGGCCCCTCTTATGCGTCTTCACACACGAGTCCTTTGCTGATGCCTTTTTTCAGTCGAAAAGGAGGGAGGGCTGGTGGGACCTCAGCCGGTGTCGCTGGGTCTTCGAGAGTCCCGGCCGAGCCGCCAGATGGAGGAGCTGATGGGCGTCTACGATCAGATCCTCGACACGGTGACTAACGACCGGCGCTCCAAGAACGAACGCGGCTACCTGAGGAACAGGTCACTTTAGCCAGACTCTCGAAAAGAGGAAGGAAGACCCCCATTGTCTGTCCTGGTGTGACTGCATCCTACAGATTAAAGGTTCCCGATCTAGTTGGGGTTTTCCTGTCCCACCTATTGGGCACCGATGATCCACCAGACATCGCCAATGCCACCGACACCGCCCTGCTTGAAGGCGTCGACGAGGCAGCGCTGTTAGAGATCGAGAGCCGCTTCAAGATCGGCTTGACGAGGATGCGGGAGCTTGAGGACTGTGTCACCCGCATTGTGCAGCTGGAGGGGCAGATCGACGCGGCCGAGCAGGTGCGGGAGAGGCGGCTAGAGCAGCTGACCAAGATGGACTCGTACCTCAACCCACGGCCACTCGAGACTGACGACCCCATAACAGCTTCGACTGACTTCAGCAACAGCCCGCTGCTAATGGAGAAGCGACAGCAGCTCAGAGACCTGCTCTGCGTGAAGCTGGGTCGTCCCCAAGCCAAGAAGTCCACCAAGGCCAAGCGGTCCCGAGAGATCCGCATCCCCGCCAAGGCCAAGGCGACGGGTAAGCGCCAGAGGCTGTCACTCGACGAGCGGGTCGATGCCTCCGAGCCCATTCTGCCATCGGAGATGACCCGTGAGGCGCCCCTCTCCTTCCCCCAACCCGTCCCCTCACTCGACACGCTGTCGCTGGATGTGTCCGGCGAGGATCCTGATCCGATCGGTGTGTTCTGGGAGCCCGAGGTCAAGGCTTTTGAGGCCGTGGTGTTCATCGGCAGCACCCGCAAGTCGGCGAGGTTCTATGCGAGCCAGCATGGGATCCAGAACGCCCGGGAGCTGGCCAAGACGTGGCGGGAGGAGCAGCTTTCCAAGCTCTATGAGACCATCGACACAGGGGTGGGCGAGGCGGCCGATATGCTGGGCAGCGAGGAGGACGACATGGACCTGGATGACAACAGCTGGACGCCGGCAGCCCTCTCGCGATCCTCTGATGATGCCTTGCAAAGCCAGCCGTCCACTCGTCTGGCCGGCCCCAGTTCTTCACCCCCAGCACAGTCTCCGCGTCCATCTTCGGCTGACTGGCACACTGGCCGTGTCGTCGTATCGGTGCCCGCCGGAGAGGGGTACCGACACGTGACAGTGGAGGTGCCGCCCTCTATGCTCGACAGCTACACCACGCCGGGCATGTATGCGCACCTTGCGCCAGCAAGCGGTGGCTCAGTGGTCACGCTGCCGATTTCTAGCCCGCCGCCGGGTCTGCTTGCTCCAGTGAAGTCGAGTGGCGGTGAGAGGGAGGGAGCATCACGACGGCTGGACTTCCTCATCAAGGAGTACACGAGGTCGGATTCGGGGAGGCGAGTCAAGTGCAAAGAGCTGCAGTGGCTCGCTACGGCAGACCCTGACACACCGATTCAGGTACGTACGAATGGCATCGTCGTCCGTTATCGTCGCTTACTTCTCGTCTGGTCTGTACATGTCTGTGTGTGTCAGCTGACGCGTCCTGAGGGCGAGGGCATTGCCATCGGCGACTTCCTCACTTCGAGCGGCAAATACGCGGTCACGACCCTCTTGCTCTTCGCAACCGAGGCCAACATCGGCCCCCTGCGCGCCTTGCTGGAGAGCTCCCTCATCCATCAGAGTGGGTCTCATCGTGTGGTCATTTACTGCGCCGCCCGCAGCATTGACTCGCTGCCTTATCGCGGCCGTTACGCCCAGTGGGTGGAGCGGGGCACAGAAGTGGTGCCGTGCGTGTCGCGCGGCCCCGTCAGCCACTCCTTCGACGCACTGGAGGTGCGCAAGGGGTACATGCAGAACATCCTTGCGGCCGACGGCATCCCGCGTCCCCAGACCACCATGTGTCTGCTGGCGTGTCACCCCACGATGGAACAGAGTCTTCGGATGGTGTGCTCCAAGAAGGGCGTCTTCCCCAGCCGCATTCTCACCCTGCCTTCGCCGCCTGAGGCGCCCAGCGCGCCCGGAGCCATGAAGGAGGACGACGAGAGTGGAGGCGTGAGCGAAGCGATGTCCGTCAACGGGTGGCGTGTAAAGATCAATGGGGCCAAGACGACCGGGCAGCGTGAGAGGAAGAGGGCTGCTGTGTCTTCTTCGTGATGTTCAATAGGAAGAGGGGAGGGGATGGGAGTGGAGTGCAGTTGGGCCGGTGGCTGCGGTTATGTGTGTACAGTCAGATGGATGAGCAGTGGATTGATGTGAGATGGGGTGGGTGCTGTTATCGCTTCTTGACTGCATGGCAGAGAGTGAGCAAGAGAGGCATTTTGCGGCGTTTCCGAGTGAGAGAGCGCTGCTCATGTAGTCAACGTCTCTCAACGTCCGAGACAGACTGAGAGAGAGAGGAGAGGCATGGACAGGCATGCCCCATTCATCTGTTGCCTTGGCGAAGGTCCAATGAATGTCTTTTTGGCCGTCTTGAGTTTTTGGCGACGGGCGGATAGCGAGAGAAAGCAAGTGACAGAGATTTTTTGGGGTATGCTATGACTAAGTTCGTGTGTGTTTGGAGCGTGTCCTGGCGTCAGTTCTTGAGGTAGATCAGATGCATGACTCACTGGCATACAGTAGCTCTGCAGAAGCCTGCCTGCGAACAATGCGACCGAGCGCGTGAAATGTACAGCGAATCTTATGAATGCATCGAAATGTGTGCCAGATCTCTGCTTAGCACGCTGGTTGCCCTGCGAGGCGCGATGAGGGTGTGACACGGCAAGCGCAGTGAATGAAGCGGCGACAGACAGGCAGACAGGCAGGCAGGCAGGCGCCCCAGGACTCAATGCTAAATCGAGTGCTTTTATGAGACTCAGAGCAACAGGACGTATCATAGCCATCGACAGCATGAATGCCTGTATGTGTGCCTTGAGAGTTGAGTGTCACGGCACCACATGTACAGCACAACGAACAGAGATAAAGGACTCTAACTCCGCTGATCAAAGTCCGAGTGTGCTATCCACCCACCACCACCCATCCATTGCACTGCTTTTTGTGCGGCTTGGCGACAAAACGTGTGTGTTTACATCCCAGCCGCGCCAGCAGTCGTGGTGTCCAAGCAAGCCCTCGATGAGCATTATAATGGAGGAGAAGAACTGTTGCATTTGCCCGGGGCGGCTCGGGAGATGGACAACTACGGGCGGGTCGGGCCACGGTGGGGGCTCTGGGGGCAAAGAAGAAACTTCGAGTGGCGACGATGGCGTGCCTGACCTCAGGCAATGTCGAGCCTCAAGAGGCATTCGAGGCGGTCAAGGTGCAGCTCGCCGCCAAGCAGCAAGTCCACAAAGTTCGACAACTTCGGGAAATATTCGACGCCATCTCCGAGGGGCTGCGTCGCAGACTTGAAGAAGAGGGAGTCGACAAGGATGCCCCGCTGCCGCCGCTCACCGTCATGCACTTTGAGATGGCCTTCGGCAAGGCAGGCATTCATCTCGCGCAGCAACACCTGCAGCGGCTCCATCAGGCGTGTCGGGGGTAGGAGACAGAGCGTCCTAAAATGAGGGAGGTCTCTTGTTCAGCTGGTGGTGTCCTTGCTGTTTGCACTGACTGCAGGAAGCCCCAGGTGCTTTTGCATGAGCTCATGCGTCAATTTTTCACCGACAGGCGGAAGGAGGCTGTTGAGCGTCTGTTCCACTTCTTGGACGTCGACAGCAAGGGCAAGATCTCTCCCGCGGCCGTCCTGTTATCTCTCGACCCCACGAACCACCCCCTTGTCTTTGCGCAGAGACGACATCCAGACCAAGTCAGGTAAGACGCTCTGCATGGCCACATGAGCAGCTGCATGAGTGCATGTCTGTCTCGTGATCATGCAGGAAGGAGTTTGAGATGGCATTCTCGAAGCTCGGACAGTGGAAGAGCGACGAGCCGTATGAGCCGGGGGACGGCCCCAAGGCGCGGCCAGAGATCCATGACGTAGAGTGGGATGAATTCTGTTTCTTCTGGAGGGAGATAAGTGCCAGCTACCCCTTCCGTGACGACCAGGCTTTTGAGGACCTCATCACTGCCTGCTGGCACATACCGGTTCCCATGAATGAAGGGCAGGTACGCGAAGATGGCCAGGCAATCAGGAATTGATTCATGTTTCTGAATGGAATTTAGAGGCGGAAAGGCATCCTGGACAAGGCCGAGAAGAAACTCAGGATCAAGGTATGTATGTCGGCATGAGAGGCTGGCCTTGATAGTCCTGCTCTGCTGCTGTTTTGCAGCTCTTCCAGCGGAGCCACCATGCACACACAGAGTTTGAGATACTCCTCGGTGCGTTCAAGAAGGTATTTCAACCCATTCAGCGAGACAGAAATCGTGTCTCACTCTCACGGTGAGGTGAGGTGCCTGATGCCATTCATGCAGGCGGATTTGCTGCGCACTGGTGTTGCCGATTACCGAGTTGTCGAAGACGCCTTCCGCCTCCTCGGTGAGCGGAGAAACGGCCATTGGAATACGGCTTGAGAAGGTGAGTGGCGTGTTCTGTTTGTTCCAGGCGTCAACCTGAGCGATGAGGAGATGTACGTGTTCTTCGATGCGCATGCGCACCAGGAGGGAGAGGAGGTGCCTCGTGATCCATCGGCCCTGCAGAACACCCAACTTGTTGTGAGCACAGTGAGAGAGACATAGAGATATGGGGTCTCTTTCTTGTATATGCATGTAGGTTGGCAGTCCACCCAACGCCTCTATGCGGTGTCCGTTGGAGCTGTCCAATCGTGTGCTGGCCTATCGCAGATTTTGCGAGGGCTTTACCAGCCCAACCGCTGCCCACAACAAGGAAGTGGTCAAGACGAGTGTGCAAAAGCAGTACTTGGTGGGCTGGTGAAGATTCGCGTGTGAATGCGTATGTGCGATTGGGACATTCATGGGGCAAAATTGAGTACAATCCTAATCGTGTGGTCCTTTTTACTGGCTCTTCATCGGTCCCTTATCCATCGATGAGCAATAGAAATTACGGTGTCAGAAGCAGTCAGCGCTTCGCGGCCCTATTGGCTGTGTTCTTCCTCACCACCCTGCCTCCTCTCTCCCTCCCTCTTTCTCATACATCCATTCACACATTTCCCCGACTCACACCCATCCCTTTGTCGCCCTGTCACACTTTACTTATAAATAGATTCGCTCACGTCGTCGCAATCAACATCTGTGTCGGGGACGGTACGGACACGCAACCATAGATGCAACAAGCTTCGCCCCACGAGTATGGGCCGCTCATCCACTAGCCTCCCCTCCCACCAGGTCCTCTTCCTCGTTCTCCTCGTTGTCCTCTGCCGCTTCCTCTTTCCCTCTCTCTTCCTGAAAAATGAATGACACGTGAATCTACCACGTCGTCCTTGACGTACATCCATGTTCTGACGCTCTACCGACCTGTTCCTGCAGCCTGAGTTTGGCCATGACTTCAGCGAGGTCGAGGAATGACGTCTTGCCGGCCTCGGTGTCAACCCACTCTTCGTTGGTGCCTGTCTCCTCCACATTGTCCTCATTGGGGTGGTGCGCCTCGAACTGCTGCAAGTCCAGCGCCATGAACTGAGACCCTCGCCGACGACGGTCAGGCGGCATCTGATTGATCGGCCATCAAGTACACAGACGAAGGAGACATTGTATGATCCATTGAAAGACTTTTCTGTCTTCGAAGGTCACCTGCTCGAAGCCCAGTTTTCTGTAGAGGTTGAATGCCGGGACGTGGCACGACGATGTGGTGAGGGTGACGATGCGGTACCCCAGGGCCCAGGCGTGGTCGAGGCAGAGGATGACCATCCTCTTGCCCACACCTGAGCCGCGGTAGGCCTCGTACAGATACACCCGCGTGAGCTCTGCCTCGTTGGGGTCGCTGGGGTTGCCGCCATGCTTGATGCCGCTCGTCCCCACAATGCTGTCGGTCGCCACGTCGCGCACACATATCAGAGCACCACGAGCCTGCACACCCACAGACAGACAAGACAAGATAGACAGACACAAAGGGATGGGTAAGGCTTACACTTTTGTGGAAGTAGACGTCTGGCGTCCTGAAGTCCTTGTCGAGGTCATCGTCCTTGGGGATGCCAAACTCCTCGTACAGAATGGTTCGCCAGAGGGTCCCCATCTGATCCACCTCCTCAACAACGATGTGGTCAAAGTCCATCAGTTCCATGTTGACCCTGCCTCCCTTGGTCTCCATCGTGCCGATGTTCTCTATCGTCTTGGCGCTCGCAATGGCCTTGTAGGCCTCGGCGGGCTGAGCCAGCTTATTGATGGGCGTGGACCCACGGTGCTTGGTGGACGAAGGGGCTGTGGACGGCGTGGAGAGGAACGAGCCATGGTGTTCGGCTGGCTCTTTGCTGATTTCTGGAATCTGAGGAGCGTTTGCTGTCTGGGGCTCTGGAGTAGCCATCGGATGGGGAAGGCCAGAGGGGTGGGGGAAGGAACCTGCCAGCGGTAGAGGCGCTGAGACGCTTCTTTGTTGTTCCAGACACGTCGCTGCGACAAAACGCTGCGAGCCCCCACAGCCCCCACTGGCAGTCTCGCAGGATGACGGAGTTCGCTGCAGCAAGCTTCATCGTGCCCCACCACCGCTCGCTCCATTCGGCTGAGGTAAGTACCCCGACTCAGGTCGTGCCCTCCGCTACTGACTTCATTCCTCCCTTTGCTCACGCAGGAGCAGTTTGCCGAGTACGTGGAGTGCCGAAAGACGAGGGACAACTTGTCGAGGTCCTTCGCCCAGAAGAAGGGCACCGTTGGCACCGCACCGCTCAGTGATCTCGGTGATGCATGTTCCGTCGTCTCACACCCGGTGCGCAATCATTATGACATCGTGCATCAGTCTGCACACACGTGCCTGTTCATCCTTATCTCTGCACATGCAGGTCACTGGTCAGCCTGTGGGTGCTCACGAGCATCGGCGGGGGAGCGTTGGTTCGAGTGTGGGGCGTCGGGGCAGGCAGAAGCTGCCACCCCTTGACGCATACACGGGGACGGTGCCAAAGGAAGACCTTTTCAAGTCAGAAGCAGACTCACGGATCGATGTGCAGACACGGAGGAGTAAGCAATTTTGTTGGTCTGTTGTCCGTCGTGCAGGTTCGTCCAGATCCGTGCGGTAAGAGCTGTGGACGTGTAGGAGTCCATTGTGACATAGGCTGATTGGTATGCGCGATTAATTGCCTGTCTCCCATGATACATCCACCATCACAAGAATGAGGAGCAAGCAGTGCGATTTTTGCCCTTCGCGGTACAGCACGAGACACAGAGGATCAAACGGTCGATGAGTCTGTGTGTGGGTGGGTCTGTGTCTCAGTTGCTGTTCTTCATCGCCTTCGTGCTGGTGGTGTGGGGCCATGAGAACATATCACAGATATTCTCAGTCGAGCAGACGTAACCATCCCCAATACATACTTGCGCCCTGTTGCTTGGATTTAAATGGATGGATGGTTGGCTGCAGCATCGCGGGTGGTGTTCGCGAGTCGGAGTTCGACGAGGGAAAGACGCTTTTGAACATCCACACAGAAGACGAAGTAAGCAACCATACATGGAGACAACACTTGCCCACGTGTCTGTCTGTCTGTCTGTCTGTGTGTCTCTCACGTGTGTGTAGTTTTGGCAGTGGTTGAGGGTGGGAATGATCAACACGCTGTTCCGCCAGACAGATGCCTTTGGCAACGAGCTGCCTCAGTCACAGTGGGGGCGGTACGAGCGATACAACCAGATCGTCGGCGGCGTCAATCTCATTCTCAGAAGGAGCAAGGACAACCAGTGCATCAACCCAGACCTCGACGAGTGAGTAAATCAATGACACCAGCACAAGGACGGAGCGACGCAGGTTCTGCTGCTCACTGTCAGGATCTTCCGCTGTTCCAATTCGAAGACTTGTTGCCACGACCCCATGACGACCAGCAAGGCGTACTACTTCGACAACTCCACGGCCATCTCGTTTGGCCCAGTGGGCGAGTTGGGCCCATTCGGCGTTGGCGAGGAGGGAGAGGGGTTCAAAGTCAGCACGCACTCAAAGACATGGGCGGCTTCAGCTTACCTGCATTCGTTTTTTTCATGTTCGTATCCGTGTGCGTCTGGGCGCAGGCCAGGACCAACGGCGAGTACAGGTTCTTCATGCCGACATACATGCCGGTGTCGCTGCTCAGGCGGCGCATCGACTATCTGGTGCAGGCCAGGTGGGTCGACCTCTCAACCAAAAGCGTAGACGTTGCTGTCTTCATGTACAACGGTAAACAAGAAAGAAGAAAGGGACAAATCGCAGCAGTCACGATTGTGTCAATCGCGCAGGTGAGCTGGGTCTCTTTGCGAAGCTGAGTGTCACCTTCGATTTCTTCCGCGGCGGCAGCGTGAAGCCAACTCTCAAGCTCGACACGGTGCAGGTAACTGCCAAGAGCACTGGCGCCACAGTCCGTCTTGTTCCCTTCATATGTGGACTTGTGTGCGTCAGTCTGACCCTTATCGTGGCCGCGAGTGGGCCTATTTCCTGGATGCGCTGTTCGCGGCGTGTTTCCTGTTCTTCGCCTACTCGAAGGGGATGGAGCTGTCGAGTAACATGTGGAGCTACGGCTACTGGACCGGCTTCAAGCTATACGCCGGAGACTTCTGGTGCGCAGGACACCAGGACCTCACTGGCAGACACATGTGCACACTGGGTGTGTGTCCATTGCAGGAATTTTTTGGATTGGCTGGTGGTTGGCATCAGTGCGTATGCGATATACGACTGGGCAGTGGTGGTGATGATAGACCACGGTGCCATCAAGCACCTCATCGACTTCACAAAGCTGGCCGAGAGTGAGCCCAACTCCCCAAAGATGTACGACAAGCTCGAAGTGTCGATGGACGCACTAGAGGTAACATAGGCGGACACCTGGGTGTTGCTGGCCTGCATTACTGATACGGATGCCTGCAGGACCTGATACTCCATGTGACTGAGCACCGCACGCTGGTCTCCGTTGCTGCCGTCTTGATGGGAATGCGGTCAGTCTTTCTCACATACTCATGGAGACGGGTGCGGCTCTTTGTCTCGATACTTTTCTCTCTTCATTTGTCAGGTTCTTTAACGCCTTTCGGAAGCAGCCGATGTTGTCGGTGGTGACGCGTACTCTGGCTGCATCCATCAGGGACGCCTTTCACCCGGCCATCGTCTTTTTCTGCATCTTCTTCGCGTACGTGACTACGCTGTCTCTACGCGCTCAACCGAGCCTTCTCGTGCTGTTTGTGCAGATTTTGCTTTTCTGGCATGGTGCTCTTCGGCTACAAGATCTCCTACTTCCGCGACATCAACGCCAGTCTCTCGTCCTGCCTGCTGGTGAGACCAGCACTTAGGAGACGGACATGGTGCCATAGATGGTGTCTCTGCCTGTCTGCCTCGTGTGTGCATGTTGTCAGTTGGTGATGGGTTGGTTCCACTGGAGCTGGCTGGGCGATGAGGGGACCAAGACCAACACCATGATATTCATGTGGCTGTTCGGGACCTTGGTGGCACTCATCATGCTCAACCTATTGCTCGGTGAGTGATTGAGTGAGCGATACAGACAGCACCCACTCGCCCGGCCATCCAGCGAGACATGAAGAACGCACCCCTCTGTGGCTGCAGCCATTGTTATCGAGGCATATCTGCGCATCCGCGCTGGCGTGGCGAACGAAGACACTGTGTGGATGTCCGGAAAGCGATTCATCAGGTGTGCACGCGCACGCACAAGACACACGGAGAAGGGCAGATACATGTGTGTGCTTGTATGCATCTGTCAGAAATGTGTGGCGACACCACCTGCCGCACTACAGGATTGAGCAGATGCTCTTCACCCATGACGACAACCTTCCGGATGAAGTCAATTTCTACCACATTGCAGAGGTATGTATGCATTGACGAGAACACACATATAGCCGCACGCCCCTGCCCGGATCATCCCTCCTTGCTGCAGAAGAAAGGCCCGGAGCCGTTGGTGAGTCCCCACGCGAGCAGCGTCAGTCCAGGCCACAGCAAGCATGCCAAGGGCACGGCTGATCGTGCCAAGGATTACGAGGCCGCCAGGCGTATGTCATACTGGCAGCAGAAGAACCTCATGGCCGGGCAGCAGGACCAACAACCAGAGGGCGAGAAAAGTGAGCTGAGGCTGGCTGTGGCTGTACCAGCTGAGCAGGCTCTGGAGATACTCGATGGCTGCGTCAAGGTGAGAATAGAAAAAAGACACACAGTCTTTGCCGAGAAATCGATGTGGGTCTTTTGTGCTCTTGCTGATTAGTGGACGCATCACGTCGACAGCCAGACGACCCTCACCATAGCAGAGGCGCTTGTGATGATCGGCCACAACTACCAGCTGGTGCTCAGCCTTCAGGACTCCATCAACGCCCTCGTCAGACGCCTCGAGGCGCTCCGGGGATCGCTCAACCTACCCATCGCTCCCTCGTCATCGACGCCGCCCCATTCCATCCAGGCCACCCTCGTGCCATATCACATGATCACGCTACCGCTGCCGCCTCCGCCCACCGACGCGAGCCCGTCGTTCATGACGATTGCTGAGGCGACGGACATCGTTGTGACTCTCATCGACACATTCCCACCCGAGACGGCACGGCAGCTCCGACAAATGCACGACAATGGTAGGCGGACGGGCAAAGGACACGGGAACATACGCACAGTGGACACGGGAACCTGTTGGTGATGTCTCGACAGGTGCTCTTGACGGGCTGGTTCGTAAGCTGCTTCCACCGACGGCAAATCGGCAGCCATCTTACGTGCAGGGTGCCCTCTCAGTGCATGTGGCGCTATACACAAGCCGATACAGCCCCGGCCGGACAGCCCTCACTGGCATGCTGCCCGTCCCCTCTGAGTGGACACAGGCCGAAAATGCCGCCCCGCCGAGGCTGCTGCTCACTGGCGAGATCGATGAGGCGGAGAATGACGAGGACATGAGCCCCACGGCGATTAGGTCGCTGGGCGAGCTGGGCGGCTTTAAGAGCGTCAGTCGCAAGAGATGAGACGTGTTGGTTTGTGGGGCTTTCATCTGTGAAGTGAGGCATTGTGCTGGTGTTTTGTGAGCGTCCAAGGCCGTATTCACACACTCCATGATGGATGTAGGCCATGTGTTCATGTCTCATTGACTGATCCATCCACGTATTCGTGCATCGTTCCACGTTCATGCATTTATAAACCGTGGGTACGTGTACAACAGTGTTGTCCATCGATCAAGCGCTTGCCCTTCGGCTCTACTGTTCAAACACCGTCGTGTTGAGCGACTGGTCGAAGCACAGCCAGGCGGGCGGGGGGAAGTAGGCACACAGCTGCTCGGCCACACCCGTCTCCACCTCAACAAACAACAAATCCAAAAAGCCCCTGCACGAACATAAGAAAGCCCACTGGCATTGGTGTGTGCTTCTTATGTCCCTCCTTCCCTCACCGAGGAATCCCCGTCCCCGCATTCAGCTGCGACTTGTCAGCTGCAACACAGTACACCACACAAGTGGAGAATATGCTCATTCATTAGGCGACAGTGGAGAATATGCTCATTCACCTAGTATGCCTGTGAAGTTGCCTGCCAGCCATTGGACAAAGATGGCGTCGAGCCCCAACGTGCGTTCGAAGATGATCTGGGCGTCGGGAAATGCCGTCTCCATGACACCCGCTCGACCTTAGAAACAGGGACGCAGATCAGAGAGCCATCCATCCATCCATCCCGCTTTGTCTGCTATCTCTCACCCAGCACCGACGTGGCCATTCGGAGGTCGCCCTTTGCCTCCAGCAAGTCATTGAAGTCTCGCCATGCTGGGGCAGACATCAGAATATCATGACGAAATCGGAAATACGAGACATGACTCTCCGGCCCCTGTTCGGCTTACGTGAGAGCGCCGAGACCGAGACGATGTAGCGCCATGTAGCCGCGTTGCAGCTGGTGTCGAACGCCTGAATGTACAACAGCACATGAAAGACAAGAGGGGTCTTCCGGGGCTGGAGTTTACCATGGTTCGTGATATGGTCTCTTCGTTGACGGTCATGGGAGATCCACGAGCAAACCAGGGCAGAGTAAAGTCACTCTCGTCGTCATACAACGACTGCACCAATAGAAGGGCCAATGACATACCGGGCTCTTGATTCGCGGATAGACATCAATGTCTCTGCACCAATCGCACTCACCTTGAGTGTCCCCGTGCTGCCTCCCGAGAAGGCGATGATCTCAATTTCCATCTCATGTGGGTCCCCGAGATAGTGCTCGCTCATGAGCTCAACCAGAGCACGGCCCACCAGGGCAGCCGCCTGCGCCTCCAGCGGCGGGGTGATGCCCGGCGGGGGAGCCACATCGCACATGCGGAGCTTCCTCCTCTCCACAGCCCGGGCTATCTTGCTGCCCGGGATCAGACTCCTGCACAAACAACAAGCACCCATACCTTCATTAAGCGCATCGCCGTATAGTTCTTGTCTTGCACACGCACGGGTAGGGGAATGCCGATGGATCTGGCACACAATCAAGAGGGAACTCATAGTGCGGGGCGTTGCCGTCCTCTCTCCAGTAGTCCATCAGGCTCTTGGTGGCGTGCTGCTTGAGCTCCGCCAACGCGGCGTTGAATGCGGCCCGCACCGTCTGATCCCACATGCATACGTGCGTCCCGTTGCTCTGTGTGTAGGGAATGCTGGCGTTGACCGACAGCAAGGCAAGGAAGAAGACGGGCAGGGTGAAGTTGACTGGGCTGCGGAATCGCCGTCTGTCGGCGCGTGACTGTCGTCGGCTGTGATGGAGGAGGGCAGCTGAGGGGGAAGGCTGGGAAGCGGCGTGCACACATGGGGCTTCATCGCTTCTCTTGGATGGTACACGGGAGGCTCTTCTGCAGCCATCGGACGGGCCAAAATGCTGAGACGCCATTCGAGCTCGCCCCCCCGCCCGCCCCCCCGTCCTCTCCTTTGAGCTCGCATCACCAATTACGTTGCGTCACCAGAAGAGCTTCCTCCCGTCGGAGAGGGAGTTACGGCAGCAGCAGACTAGTGACTGCAGAATGCACAATTCATCAGGTAATGAAGATGATGATGCGCATCCCCATGCCCTTCCCCATGCCTTTCCTTTCTCTCTTTCCCTGCAGCCCATTGAGATCTTCGTCTCCTTGGCCTCGCATTGACAGCCTCCTATCATCTCCTCACGTAGCTTAGGTGCGCATGCAAGGCTCAGACAGACAGACACAAGACAAGATGGGCAACATGAGCACTCCCTTGTCTGCATGCATCATCTTGCCTTGCTGTGTGCTGCCCTTGCGCGATCGACTCCAGCAGATGACACATCAGGACAACCAACAGCAGGTACTTACAGTACACAAGCAGCCACCGACACAGGCAGGTACATGTACCAGCCCAGATGGTCTCTCCCTTAATGTTATGCACAGGCGCCTGTCGGCAGTGCAGCCGTGTCTGCACCCGCTGCTGGCGGCCCCTCGACGACTTCTCGCGTCGTCAACCTGCCTGTAAGTGAGCGAGGACGTCTGTCTGTACACAAACACATGAGCCACCGATCTGTCTGTCCACTGACTGCGCTCACTGCGTCTATCCGTGTCGGCCTGTGCCTCAGGTGAGTGCCGCGACGCCCGGCCCGGCACACAACTACCTGACGCCCAACACACCCAGCCACTTCTACCCACAGCCCCCTCCCATCTTACCCCCCCACCCGTCTTTGTTTGCCCCCCGGCCATCTCCGCCCGCTGCCCCGCCCCACCTCATTGCACTCCCTCACCCTGCTGCCATGCGGTTTGGCAGTGCATCGGCCAGCCCGCCCTTAGTGCTGTCGTCGCCACACCGCCCCGCACCAGCCCCAGCACATGTGAACCAGCCGCCACCGCCACTGCAGCAGTATCACATGCACCACGCCAACACGGCCAACACGGCTGGGCGGACAGGGGGAGTGATGTGGCCGTGGGCGGCGGATGGCAGCAGTGCTGCACAAGGGGAGGGCGGCAGCCACAGCTCCGCCTCTCGACAGCGCAGCAATCCGCCGCCCATGTACATCCCCATCGAGAGAACCTTGCGGGCGGAGCGCAAGCGCTACTACGACGTCCTGCTACCTCCGGGTGCCAATGTGAAGACTTACCAGCTGGCGGAAGGCATCATCAACCGCACCATGACCCCCACCCGAGCCCAGCAGCTCATTGCCGAGGGAGCTGACCCGTCCGTCACGGTGCGCGTCTATCGTCGTCAAGACGGCGATTCGGGGATGCAGCAACACCTCCTCATCGAGCTGGCCCTCGACACCCCAGCCATTGACAAGACATCGTGGGATCCGGAAGCTATCCTGGGTGTCTTCTGGCCGGACGAGGCCGTGGGTGTGGCGGTGGTGAGCGCGATGCTCGAGGGCGGCGCCGACGTCAACGCTGTGCTACCCCTTGCTGTGGCACGGGTCAACGAGGCGCTGGTGGATATGGCCATCAAGCACAACGCAGACCTGCGTGTCCTCAAGGCAGGCCCAGGCCGCCGCTGGCCTTACGCACTCGATTGCCTGCTGAGGAACCGCTCCTGCGCGCCCATCTTCCTCAAGCTGGTGAAGCTCAGCCCGACACTGGTGACGGACGACACTCGAGTGGCCGCTATCAAGAGCTCCTGGTCGCCACGCGGGAGTGTGGATGAGGCCTTCTGCGATATGCTCTTCGACAAGCCCCACCCACTGCCGCCCACTGCCTTTCCATCTCTCGTCCACGCGGCCCCTCAACATGAGTCCCTCGCGGCCTTCCGGTGGCTGTGTCGAAAGAACCGGGCTGCCACCATGGCATTCATCAATACACCTGATGCATCATTCGGCTACAACCATGCACTTACCCCCCTGGGCAAATTTGCCAACAGCTCAGGGTCTCTGCGAGACGAGGCTGAGGCTTCACGGCTCATTCGCGAGATGCTGACGCTCGGTGCATCCTATCGGATCAGGGCTCGTCCGTATATACATACGGCAGCCCGTGACCGGCTGTGCCGTGACGCACACCGTGAGCATCTGGCGGACCTGTGGGGCCACGCTGAGGCGGCCATCAACGGGGCGCTCGACGCTATGGAGCAGCTGGCAGAGACGCTGATCGCGGCCAACGAGGACATGCAGCCCTTCGCCCAACGCATTGCCGCCTTCCTTGCCCCCATTTCCAAGGACGCCATCGAGGACCAGACACAGCTGGGCCGGCGTGTCAATGCTGGCATCGGCCGATTCATCCGCGCAGCTGCCCCTCTCTTCGCGGTCGGCGGCATCAACGCACTGCGGAGCGATGCCGCGTCGTCGCTCAAGTGCTTGGTGATGGGGCGAGTGGAAGGGCGGAAGCTGAGCGTGAAGGATCTAGTGGTGCAGGCGATAGCGGACGAGGAGCAGCGCGTAGCGGGCCCGCCGAATTCGGCGCCGTTCAAGTGGGATGACGTCGGCTACGTGATGGTGTGTGGCGGCCGTCAGGTGTTCGAGCCGATGCATCTCGAGGCGCTGGAAGACCGACTGCCGGGTGAGTCACTGGGGCTCCCGAATATCGACTATCTGCCCCCGCAATTTCCCATCCGGGCTGCCCAGCGGGAGAGTGGCGCAGCTCTATGACGAGGAGCAACGGGCCGCCAGGGGGTGGTGAATGCAATGGTGCAGACATGTCTGAGTTATGCGGACCCAACCTAGCTGCATGGACCGCTCGTTGCATCGTACGTGACGATTGAATGACGAGCCGATGCGAACGGTGACATGAGTGAATGTGCGTACAGACAGCGACACAAGAGGGATGGATCATATTACATCGGAGGAGACAGACACACTTACATCAAACTCCGCAGCAAGTAATATGCACCGACGGGCATTGACCGTACCGACCAGCCAGCGTCTCTCATGTACACGGTTCAACCATCGATATGCACACAAACTGACTGGACAAATGTCCCCACTCCCCACCCATCCCCCTCATTCAGTTGTTGGCCAACCCAGTGATGAGCTGCACAACAGGCGCCACCTCTCCACCATCCATAAGGGCCTCCAGCTCTACACACGGGGGTCTGCGACGTCCCCCATCCTCCCACTCCCCTCCACCATCCAGAAATTCATCCAACTCGTGAGGTGCCAACCTCAGTATCCGCAGAGACTCCGCCACACTCTCGTCATGCTCCCCCCTCCGCGCCACGATGGCCCCCCCGCCGTCCCCCGACGCCGCATCGCGCCCTCTGTCCTCTGACAACCGAGTGACGATCTCACGCAGGCAGCGACGATAGTCGAAGTGTGGCTCGGTCGATGAGGATGAGGCTGCACCGGCCTCACGGGCAGAGAGGGGTGGGGCAGGGGCGGGGGCTGCCGGGGGATCGTCGGGTTCGATGTCGCTCTGGACACCTGACACGCGTGGGCGGGAGTGGGCCCTCCGCCGGTGGTAGCTGTGTTTGTTCGGCTTTGGCGCGTCCTTGGCGGCCGATGGGGGTGAGGGGGCCTTCTTGCGACGCGCGAAGCCTGCGGGCTGGGAAGGAGAGCGGGACAGCGAGTCGAGCTTGGCTTGAAGAGCTTCAACCTGCGATTCCCTGATCAACAGACGCGAGACGAAAGATGAAAGGGCGGATTTGGAATCATCGCTTGTGTGCGGCTAGGCTGCTCACCGGCGATCGAGTTCGTGTTTGCACCTTTGCAGCTTGTCCCTCAGCCGCTGTATCTCCTCCTGACGGGTGCAGACCTCGGCCTCCAGCTGCCCCGCCTTCCTCTTGACGTCTGCCAGGTAGCCATCCTTCCTGCCCACCTCACCACGGACCGCACGGAGCTTCTCGTCGAGCTCGCGAACTGATCACACGCACCACATACACACACAAGGGCAAGCAAGAATGACGACAGACAGACAGACAGACATGGATGGCATGTATCGCGTATGTACCTACCTTTGTGTGTCGCCGTTTCCAGCTCCTTCATCAGTGTGTCGCGCTCCCCCTTGACGGCCTCGAGCATGCTATCCCGCCTCTGCAGCTCCCTGTGTGCCCGCACCAGCTTGTTGCGCTCACTGCCGCCGAACAGTCCCTCCATGTCCTCCTGCTCACGGTCCACCAGCCCGTCCAGTTCGTCATCGAAGTGATCTCCCCCCTTGGGCGACCGCCTCGCCGGCCTCGCTCTCGGCTGCTGCTGCTGTGGGGGTGAGGGAGGGGCTGCCTGGATGGCGGCGAGCTTCTCCTTGAGTCCGTCGATCATCTGCCGCTTGCGTTGGATGTCGAACCGGGCACTCCTGAGCTGATCCTGGAGCTCCATGACCTTCTGACGCAATGCAGCGATCTCGCCGTCATCTGACGCGCTCTTCTGCTTGGCCGCGTCTGCCCGCGACTTCCACGTGTCGACCTCACCCCTCAGCCTCTTGATCTCTTTCCTGTGGCCAGCCAGCCTCTCTTGGGTATCGTTCTCCGCCCAGCTGTCCGTCTGGCACCAATCCGACACCTTTCTGACGGCCGGGAGGGCGGGAGGAGCCGCTGTCGTGGGTGGGGGCGGTGGAGGTGGTCGCGTCATCAAGTCCTCCATGCGTTGTCGCCACACGTCCAGCTGCTGCCCGAGCACCCGCTCCCTGTGCAGAGCCATCCCCAGTTCACGACGCAAATGCACCACCTCATGCACGGCATGCGCCAGCTCAATCGACTGCTGGGGGTCCTGCCGAGGTGCTGCCTGGGCAGGTGGGAGAGGCATCGCAGCAGCAGCAGCAGCGGGCGAAGAGGGCGGCTCGGCCGAGGCCGACCGATTCCTCCTGGCTGCATGGCTGGCGGGTTTGTCCCGCTGAGCCGACTGAGGTCGCTTCTTGGGTGCGACAGCCTTGGTTTGCTTCTGCTGCTGCTTTGGTCGGTTTGCGGCCGGTGCGCGCTGGAGGGGTGGCGGGGGCGAGTGTCGTCTGCGGAAGTGCTGTGTGAGCCGCTGGTTCTGGTTGGTGAGATGGCGAAGGGACCGCTGCAGTGCATCCACACGGGCCAGTAGGTGGGCATTCTCATTCTGCATTCATGCCAGACAGAAGGGGACACGATCACACAAGGGCCAGCCAGGTGGTGCTGGGTTTGTATCCATGTACCTGCAGGTGAATGAGCTGCCGGTGCTGCACAGCGTCGGTGGACACATCGCTCCTAGGCTGGCCCATCGCTGCCAAAGCTCGTTGAAGGGCGCAAATCTGACAACACGCAAAGCGGACAGGGCACCCATGATCGATCACAGGGAGCACACACGCTGCCTTGTTGCGTGTCTGACCTCTTCTCTGGCCGAGGCGTCCCCCTCCCTGCCAGCCAGTGTCCTCTGCACCAGGCCTTTCTCGCGAGCACTGGTGGCCGTGGAAGCCACCAGCCTCTGCAGCAGCAACACCTCGGCCTGCAGCCGACCCGCCTTCTGCTGCTCAGCTCGCAAAGACGCCTCCAGTGCCTCCATACCATCGCCCCCCTCTCTCACTACTTCTCTCTCGCGACCGGGGCTGCGCTCGCGCACCTCTTCGCCGTCTCTTGCTGTTGTTTTGTTGCTGTCGTATTGGCGAGACGAAGAGGGAGGGGCACCTCGTGTGTGGGGCGACAGTGACCGCGTTGGCCGGTCTGACGGCGGGGGGCATGCGGGCGACGGCAATGGTGCTCGGATGGGGGGAGGGGGCGCAGGGGAGGGGAGGGCGTCCGTCTGTGTTGTCTGCGGCTGGTGGGGTGGCCGGCTTGGGAGGGCGCTGGTGCTGACCGATGCGTCTTGAGTAGATGGCTGTGTCTGCAGGGCCACCTCCGACACATCTGTCGGCCGTGCTGAAGCTGGCGATGGCTGGTCGGTCTGGGCGTGGCTCGAGATGGCCTCTGGGGGCCGGCCAGTTGACACAGCTCTCTCGATGAGCATTGGCGGGGGGCTTGGCGCATCTGTCATCACAGTGCGGTCCGCAGCAGCCACAGGTAGTGGCACAGTAGCCACACTCCTGTCGACAAGCAGTGCAGGGGGAGGAGCCGCATGGGTCTGTGTTGCCCGGGATAGCGACACAGGCGGGTGCGGCGTCTGTGTGAACGATGTGGCGAGATTGGTGGGGCTGGCGGGTGGTGGGAGTGCCGGTGATGGTGCCTGGATGGGCTGCTGGACTGAGTGCTGCAGGGCCTGCTCGAGGGTCGACTCGCGCCGCTTCGACCCATGCAGAGCAGCCGTCGTCTGGTGGACAAGTCGAGTTGACAGACAGGAAATGTGCGCAGGAGTGTGTGGGTCCGTGGGGCATTGCGGGTGTATACCTCTTCCAGTTGTTGTTTGGTGGCCTTGAAGCTTCCGTGCAGCTGTTTCTGTGTGTCAAGTAGCTCCCGCAGCCGAGCCATCAGCTCCCTCTCCCGGGACTGCCACGCCTCACGGTGACTCGCAAGCAGCGCCTCGTGGTCCTGCATACACACAAGACATAAACCACACACATGTTCCGCTACCACTCTCTCCCCTTTGCAGGTGTCTGCGTACCTCTCTCCTCATCAGGTCAGGCTCGTCCCTCCCCTCCACTCGCCGTCTGGCCAGCACCCCCCTGCTGCCGTCATCCAACACACCCACCGGCTGTGAAGAGGTCCGCCTGATTGGCGATGTGCCTCGCATCACCATGAGGGGCCTCTCTTGCGGAGCGGGTGGGGGCGGGGGAGGGGGAGGGATGGGATGGCTCTTGAGGGTCTGACGGTGGTGCTCGATCTCCATCTGAATGGTCCGCGTGAGGGCGAGGGCATGCTGCAACAGGGTGGTGGGTGGATGGACTGCAGCGGCGGCGGTAGTGGTGCTGGTGACCAGGGTGTCCACTTGGTGCTGCAGCAGCTGGGTCTCCAGCCGGCCAAGGGCGCTCGCAATGCCCTCCATTGCCGCGAACAGCATGTCCATCGTCACCTCCCGGCCGCCCTCTCGCAGGCCTCGCCCAAGCAAGTGAAGGATCAGCTGCCTCTGCCCCTGCAGAGCGCCCTCCATCTCCTCCAGACGCCTCCTCTCCCCCTGACCGACGACCGTCGTCGACCTGCTCCGGGCCATCGGCGTGCGCGCCCTCCTGCCCCCTGTGACGGATGCGCTTCGCCCCTTCCTCTGCAACCTGGGAGCGGCCTTGGCTGTGTCGTCATCCTCCGCTTGTGACGTGAGGGGCGTGGCTATGGGTGTGCTCGAGTGAGAGGTGTGGCTGACCGCTGTCACGACAGTGCTGCCCATCTCCACCATGGCCAGCCGCTGGATGGACTCCATCAGAGCGTCGAACAGCAGAGGGCTGGTGCTGGTGCTGCCGTCTTCCTGCCCGCCTCCTCTCTGGCCGAGAAACGACCGGCACGCCACCAGAGCCCTCTGCTGACGGTCGATCATCGTCTGAGAGCTCTTGAGAGCACTGTCCCGTTCGGCGATGGTGGCCTGCAGCTGGGCGATCTGGTCGGCCACCGACTGCCGTGCGAGTGTGTGGTGTTGGGTGCGGTCGGCCTCCTGCTGTGTGGTGAGCTGCTGAATGCGGAGCGAGTGGGCGGCGCGGAGGGACTGCAGCTCCTCCTGGTGCAACTGACACGTCCGCTCAGTCCTGAGAAGACATACTGCGTGTGTGAGAGCGCTCCTGGGTGTGTGGCTGACCATTGTTGAGTCTCGGTGAGCTGTTGCTTGGTCCGCTCTAGCTCTGTCTGGGCCTGGGCGGCTCTCTCGGCCTTGTCGCGGTAAATCCGCAGCTCATTGCTGCACACAGACAGATAAAGACGCGCGTGTGCCGTTGCAATCGTTGACTGACCCCATGACGTCAGTCTTGGCCTTCTCTCTCTCCAGCTGCATGTCCCTCTCAGCCAGCATTCCCCGCAGCTTCTCGTTCATCAACTCCACCTCCCACACCCGGCCCTTCAACACACCAGCCTCCATCCCCGCCTCCGCCCGCCTCTCCAACACACCACCGCCGCTCTTGGGTGGCGTCACGGGACACGATCGAGCGGTCGAGTCCCCTCCCTCCGTCTCTGTGTGTGGGGAGGGGAGTGCGGGGACCGACAGACGACGCAGCGAATGGGACGGCCGAGTAGGGAGGGGGTGTGGTTGTTGGGGGTGTGTGGCTGGGGTGGCGGCTTGCAGTGTGGCGATCTGGTAGGTCTTGGCGTCGAGATGGGCCGACAGGAGGCTGTTGCGCTCCGTCAACTCCTGATGGATGAATGCATCGATCAACACACGTGCGTCGGCAGGCTCTCAGGTATGTGCGTGTGTACCTTAAGTGCCAGCTCTGCAGTGATGCGCCCCTCCTCGCTTTGTCTGAGCAGATCGGCGGCCTCTGCGGGCAGCAGTGCCTCTGTCCTGGACAGCAGTGTCGACACGGCCGTGGCGATGACCTCCTTACGCCACTCGTCGTGCTGCGCCCTCACCGACTCCTCCGCCACACCACGCGCCGTCATCTGAACAACCACACCCAAGTCAAAGGCACAACCACCAGGCATCCCGCGGGGTTTCCTTCTTACCTCAGTTTCTTTCTTGTCGAGTTCGGCTCTGGTCAGCTGGTGTTTAAGCCCCTCTACCTCCCCGCGCAGCGTGTCGTTCTCCATGCCCAGGCACTGTGCCTCGAACGTGGCCTCGGTGAGCTTGCGGTTGGCGGTGAGGAGGTCCTTTTCCAGGTCGGCGATGCGCCGCTCGCCCATGTCGCACCGACGGGTCAGGAAAGACGACTGGATGGGCGACTCCACCGTCAACCGATGCCTGATAGACACGAGGGACAGTGATCTGTTTCGCCAGTTCCTCGTTTGTTGTGACCTACTCGAGTTGTTGGTTCTGCTGTTTGAGGAGCGTCTGCGCGCGTATGGCCTCCGCCTCCCTCTCCCTGGCGACCCGGAGCTCCTCCTCATAGAGATGTGCCACCACATGTTTGACCACCCCCCGCTTCTCGCACTCGGCCAGACGCCGGCCGCACTCCACCAGCAACTCGCCCCACCGATCCACAATGCCCTGCTGCAGCTGACCGGCATCGAGCTGCTTGCTGATGGAGACCAGCTCCTCTGTGAGGGGGACGAGTGCTGTGTGTGGGGACGGTAGGAGAGAGGGCGGTGGGTTGTGCAGGGCTGAGAGGATGGACTGGTGGCTGGCGCGCTCCTCCTGGAGGGACTGCAGGTGCGTGCTGTGCAGAGAATCGAGGTCCGACTTCCAGGCCTGCATCCAGACAGGGCAGGCGAGCAGGGATCGTGCGCAATCGCGTGACCGATGGGCAGACAGGTGTGTGTCCGATTGGTGTGGTGCTGACTTCTATTTGTTTGTTGAGTGTGGTGTTCTCGTGTGTGAGCCGCTCCTCTGTCCTCTGCGCATCAGCCAGCCGACGACGACCCATCTGCACCTCCCTGAACACGCACAGCCACAACTCGTGCACATGTGCCCCACCATCTCACCCAACCCAAACACCAACCCATACGTGTCCATCTCACTCACTCGCGCAACGCGGCGTTCTCCTTCTCAGTGGACGCCAGCTGCGACCTCAGCCACCTCTCCGTCCGCTCCCCCGCCCGAAGTCTCTCGTCCATCCGTGCGGTCCTCTCCTGCCCCTCCCTCTCCTTGGCCAGCTGCCAGCTGAGGTCGCACTGACACATCTCCAGACGCCGCTCCATCACTGCCTGCTCGTGAATATGCGTCAGCAGCTGCGCCGACAGGGAGCACAGACGATCGTGGAGGTCCGTGTGGGCACCGGACGAATCGGGGGGCTGTGAGAGGGGGAGAGGCTGCACCATAGAGAAAGGAATGAGCGATGGGAAATACACATGAGTTGGGAGGGGTCTCTGTGTGTGGCTGTGTGGGTCTTACCTGTACTGTGTTGTCGTCTTGCATGTTGTCGATGAGCCTGCTGATGTCTGACGGCACGTCCAGCACGGGCGAGGGAGGGGCGGGGGCTGCTGGGGCGGGGGCGTCGCCGCTCTGTTGGCCGCCATCCTGCTGCTGCTGTTGCCGTATGCTCTTCTGTATGGTGTCGAGTGACTGGACGGCCTGGCAGAGCTGAAGGTGGCGCTCCTTGGTCTTGCTCTCCTGAGCTATCTTCTGCTTCTCCAATGACAATATCGACCTAAAGCCAACCCCCGCACATACACACATTCCTTGGTCCACCCTCCTCCCTATCTGCACCATCCATCAGTCGTCACCCACCTGTTTCTGTCTTGTATGGTGCGCTCTAAGTCCTTGATGTGCGAGGTGAGTTCGTCGATGTGCCGGTCCCTGTCGACGGCCATGTGGCGTGCCTCGTCCTCGCGGATGGCCAGCTGGTTCTTCAGCCCCTCGCAGCGGGACCGATGGTCGTCCACCTCGTGCTCGAGCTGCTCACATCCATGCATGGGATACACTCCTATGGATGGCCATCCACAGGCGTGTCCCATCTGCGCATACCGTCTGTGTGTTGAGTGTGAGTTTGGTCTGCAGGTCGCTGACTTGCCTCTCACGCTCACTCACGTCACGCTCCAACGCACGCTGAACACAACACACACAGAGGTAGAGAGAGAGTAATGGCAACCATCTATCTGGCTGTGGATATATACCTGCAGGTCAGCTTTGTCGTGTTGCAGTGCGGCCACTTGTGTCTGGAGGTCGTGTGTGAGGGCCTGGAACTCACTCGAACGGGTGCTTAGGAACTCCTCAAAGGGGTGCCAACTCGACGCCTGGACATCGACACAAGGGCATGCAGAGGCGGCCTACGTAGCTACGGTGGCATGTGTGCATGCAGACCTCGTCTGTTGTCTGTGTGGCCTCCGAGCGCATGGCGGGGACCTGATGGGGGGACAAACAAATGTGGGGGGTCGGTGGATTAGACGGTGGATGTGTGACATTATACCTTGACTTGCGCCTCAAGATGGGCTACCTGGGTGCCAAGCTCACGCTGCACACATCCACACACGCACACACAGCCAATGAATCGGAGAAAGGACATACAGAAACGGCTGCGTGCTTACCTCAGTTTTCTCCGCCCTGGCCTCGGCCTTCTTCAACTCTTTCAACAGGCGCTGCTCACGCATCTGACAAACGCGCATACGCAATGGACGTACGTGTGTGCGTGTATGTGGCCACCTGACCTTGGCGGCCTGCAGGCGGGAGTTGAGGGCAGCAACGAGCTGCTGCTGGCCGCCCTCCTCCCCGCCCAACGCTCCACTATCGATGTGCTGCAGGGAGTCGTCAAGAGTGGCATGCTGCTCCACTTGAGAAGCCCGCAGCTTGTGCTGAATTGGGGAAGAACAGAAGAGAAGGATGTGCACTCGGTGGGTGTCCGCGGGTGTCCAGGGCCCTCACCTGGTCGATCTGTGCGTGTGCGTGTTGCAGCTTGAGTGTGAGGGACGAGATCTCCTCGCGAAGCCGATCGGCCTCCTCCTCTGCAATGCAACACACAAAACACACAGCGAGGTCTGGGGGTGCCTCTGTCTGTGTCTTTGTCTCTGATAGCGGACCTTCGGCTGTGGGTTCTGTTTGTGTGGCGATGCGCGCCTTGTCGACCTCCACTTTGCTCCTCAACTGCTGCAGTTGCTTCTCGGCACGGACCTTCTCCACACGGTGGTGCTGACACACACACAAGGACGTGAAGACACAGGCCAAGTCTGCTGCATGCAGCGACGGACCTCCAGCGCCCCCTCTGCCTCAGCGATTCTGTCCTGCCACTTGGCGCGATCAGACGCGTGCGACTGCAGACACAAACGTACATCCATCCATCCATCCATCCACCACATGAGCTGAGCTTCCGCCTTTTGTCTAACATACCTGTGCGTGTTTGGTGAGCTTCTGCTGCCACTCCTCCAGCTGGGCCGCGGCGGCATCGAGCTGCTCTGTCTGGCGGGCCACCTCACCCTTGAGCTGGGCGACCTGGTCACCCTTGGTGCGGCTCTCGCGCTCCAGCTGCGACTGACGCTCACGCAGGGCCTTGTTGTCACTCTCTAACCTGGATACATTTGTTGGAAGATTGGATTGGTGCTGTGTCTGTGTTTGTGTTTGTGTGGGTTGTGTCTGGCTACTCGTCGATTTGTTTGCGCGCGTCCTCCAGCTGCCCCTCTTGCATGAACTGCATGAATGAAGCATATCGTGGATGCGTGTGAGTGTGTCTTCAGCTTCACCTGTTTCCTGCACTGCTGCAGCGCCTGCATGAGCCGCTCCTGCTTCTTCTCCACCTCACTGTGTACATGCATCACACACACACATGGGTAAACGCACAATGTTCCCTCCCCGCCTGCTCACTCTAGATTCTGATGCACTTCGCGCAAGCGACCCTCAGCAGCTTCGCGGCCGCCCTGACACACACACACACACACACATCATCGGCATATGGCTGCCCTTGACACCTGCACCAACCCACCGACCTGTGTGTCGACGAGCTGCTTCTGCAGCTCAGCGATGCGATCGTCCTTGACGGCGAGTATCTGGAGGACCTTCTGGCTCTTGTGCTCCGTCTGCTGCCGCTCGTCGGCCATGGTGTCGTGCAGCAGCTGGTGGAAGTCGGGGGCCTCCCCTTGCAAGCGCTGCTCCACCTCCTTGCAGAAGGCCTCACGCTGCGCCTGCTCGTCCAACTGCACACGCACAAGGGTGAGTATACACACGTACGCCCATGTGTGTGTAACGTTACCTTTCCCTGTAGTGCGAGATTGTGAGTCGTGAGGTCCACGATCTGCCCCTTAGCGTCATCGTGGGCCCGCTGCAGCGAGGCCAGCGGCTCCAGCTGCCCCCGCAACATGCTCGCCTCGGTCTCTAACGCACGTACCCTGCACTCGTGGATGCATAGACTGAACGCACAACACTAGGACGTTTGTGCATGTTGAAACTGCGTACCTCGCCTTCCAGGTGTCGACAAGTTCCCTCACATACGCAGGCAGCTCTGACTCGTCCCCAGGCCTGCCGGCAGGGCCGATACGCACGTCTGCACATAGATAAAGGAGGGTAATTTGTGTCATAAAGAGAGTATCCGTGCTTTGCGCACCTGCATGGCTATCCGTTTTGCTTCTCGCGGGCGGGCTCCTGCTATTGCCGCCTCGTGTGCGCATCGCTGCAGCACCGCCGCCACTCATGTACATGTCACCTACACACACTCAGACACAGAGGTGAGGACACGACCACAGGTGCGTATATTCGCATGCCCACGCCCAACCTGATGGCTGGATGACGACAGTGAACTTCTGGTCGAAGAAGTCGCTCTTGATGGTGAACACATCCCTCAGTGTGCCTGGCGACCGCGATGCCGGACGGGCGCCAGGTGGCGGGGCGGAGGGGAGAGAGGCGCGCGTGGGAGGCCTGCATGACACACAAGGCAGACGATGAATCGGATGAGTGGGTTGAGAAGTGTATCTCTCACCTGCTGAGTTTGAGCTTGATCCGTATCGGTGCTGTTTGCCCCGCCTCGAGTGACAGAGTGCGGGGGGATACGCTGTAGCGATCGCCATGGGGATGCCGGACCTCCTAAACAACCAAGAAGGAACACACACAGCCAACAACACGTGATAAGAAACGAAGATACTCCTTCGTGCATTCTGTATGCTGACCACTTGGACAGTCGTGGCAAGAAGATTCGTCAAGTGCACCTCTTTTTCGTACGCCGTGCCCACTTTGACGCCATCGAACAGCACCTGCGATGGCGATATCTGGAGCGCTCGAGTTGGAGGAAACGGAGAGGCTTGTGAAGCCATGCTATCAGCGCCATTCAACTTCTCTTTTAAGCTCGCAGTGATGATGTAAACGCTGAAGACGGAATGCTATGGCGATGGAGGAACGGCGAAACCAATCATTGTTCCAGGTGCGCAAACGCAGATGCTGCCACATTGCACTGGAGATCTTTGTCTTTCTCATGCACATGTGTATGCGCTCGTGCGCGTGTCGGTGCGGTGATTGGTGCGGTGATCTGCATCAGCGATGGTGGCATTCGCTGCCTGACGCGGATCAGGTGTTTTCGTACGACACAGTCAAGGAGGTGCGCATCCTCGACAGCAGACTCGGGCTCATCTACTACACAGTATTCTTCGCCATCGTCGCTTACATCGTCCTCTTTGTAGGCCCGTGCAATGCTATGGATGGACAGAGAGACGGACGCACCCACCGCCATGTGTGTGGGTGTTGTAATGTTGTGTGCAGGTGTTTCTGATCAACAAGCAGTATTTGGAGCAGGAGAAGACCACCGGATGGATTGTCACCAGCGTCCTGGGCAACCCGCTCAGCGACAAAAAGATACCATTTGACGTCTATGACGCCGTCACCAACCCGGGGGAACTGGGGGCGGTACGACGCAACCACCAAACGTGCATAGCACCTGTTTCTATCCATTAGGTGTTTCTGCCGACACGCATCTTGGTTACTCGGGGCCAGGAGCCGAACAAGCGGTGTGCATTCCCCCTGTCGCCCTGCCAGACGGCAGAGGACTGCTCCATGGGGGCCATGGGCGAAGACAAAGTCGCCACACCCACATGCGACAACGGGGTGAGCAGAAGGGACATCGGCAGGTGGCGTCACTGGTGTGGTTTGTTTGCAGATGTGTGTGAAGCTTGGGTGGTGTCCTGCTGAGCAGGAGGGGGCGGCAACGACAGAGCAGCATCTCATCGATGCCAACCAGTACTCGCTGTGGTAAGGAATCAGAGAATTGCCATCTCTCAGGCACACACAGGTGTCTGTGTGCGTATGATTGTGCAGGTTCAAGGCCAAGGCCTACTTCCACAAGCTAGCTGACGGCCTGGTACGGACAAACGCGGACGCACCAGCCATCTAGCGCACCTGTGTGTCTGTGTCTGTTCTTTGTCTGCCTGCAGGAGATCTCCACGACCCGCAATGGCAGACCGATGCACTATCCAAACGCATCTGCAAACACATACACCGTACGCAAAGCTCTTCCTCACCCATAAATCGATGAATGCCATTCTTTGGTGTGTCATGGGTGCGGTGCAGCTGGAGGATTTGCTGCGATTTGCCAACCTGCATCTGGATGACGTGCGTGAGAACGGGGCGGTGGTGCAGGCCAATGTGATATTCGCATGCGACCTCGACGAAAAGAACGAAGACGAACAGTGCCAGACGGAACTCAACGTAATGCACCAGCGCTGCGCACACCAATATGTGGTTGATTGGTGTGTGTCTAAATGGATGGATGCCTCCAGACAGCCCTCGTGGACGCAACATCCGGCTTCAACTACCGATTTGTAAAGAGACAACATGGAAAAGCGCAATGGGGGGGCGGCTGACCTCAGTTTGTTCTCCTCTTGCGCGCAGAACCATTACTATTATGAGGACGGCACGAGGAAGAGGGACGCATATCGCATGGTACCGTCAGCCACACAAACACACATGTCTCGGCCTGTCTGTCACCGGCCGATGGCGGATCGATGGATGGATGAATGTCTGCAGTATGGTGTCCGTGTGGTGACGGAGGCGGCTGCCCTGGGGGCCATCACGTCAGTCGGACAAATCATACTGCAAATATCGTCGGCACTCGCACTGCTGGGTAGGGCGGTGGAACGTACAGGCACGCAGGCAGACGCCACCGTCATGACATGGATGTGTATGTGAGCAGGTGTGGCGACAATGGTTGCCGATTTCTTTCTGCAGTCTGTCGTGCCGGAAAGGAACCATTACAAGATGCAAAAGGTGACGAGACATAAACCCATGCAGGCATCCTGTGTCTCCGCCTTGGTTGTGCCTGGCAGGTCCTCGAGACGGAAGACTTCAATTGATGTGCATGCTATATTCGTGCAGTTGACGTCAATGTTTGCTGCATCTCTTCCTTCATCAAGCCTGCAAATGTTCACCACAATGTTCACCCACATCATGGATTTGGGCTCCATGCACACTACAAACTCACCGACAGGGGGTGTGGATGGCGTGGAAACGTGGATCTACCCAATTCAGACCCATCGGACAAACATGGCGCTTGCCACGGCAGTTAAAGAAGAGACTGTTTCGTCCCAGACGTGTACGTCTGCGAGGATGGCATTGCGCGACTGTCTGTGCCTTTTAGCGCGTGGGGTGGTGAGGGAAAGGCGGGGGGGCATCCACGAACGTGAGACGCCATTGAGCTCGCAGATCGGAGACGGGGGGCACGGCAGAGCAGCTGTTTTCTCCACGAACAGATGATGCAAGCAATGATCTCCCTCGGCGAGAATTGGAGACGGGACGGGAAATTCGAAAATTCGACCCACTTTTCCCAATTTTCATCCACACTCGACTTCTCAGCCTTCTTTCGGCCACAGATCCCCCGTTTCTTTTTCTTTTCACTCGCTTTTTGGCTTATGTGGTCCGCCGCATCCCCTCCCGCCCCTCCCAACTCGTCCGGGTTTTGCCTGCCACTTCCTTCCTCTACCGCCCGTGGTACCCTTCCTTTTGGTGAACGGTGGCGCTGTCTGACCCAAATTGGGGGCGGGTCAGGCTTAGCAGGAGTGAAGGAGCTGAAGGCTGAGGAGGAGTGGGAGTGGCGGGCCGGGACCAAGCGGCTGGTCGTATGGGTGCCTGGCGGCTTGGTCATAGAGATGCAGCGGCTCAACATGACCATCTGCATCCCGGTTCCCAGAGACCGGTAAGGAAGGAAGGAAGGCAGGGAGGGAGGGAGAGGGAAGGACGGACCGACGGCACGCTCTCTCTCTCTCTCTCTCTCTCTCTCTGTGCGTGTGTCTGTGTGTCTGTGTGTGTGTGCAGCCTGTTGAAGATGCTCGAGCGTATCGACACCATCAGGTTCAAGATGGAGCGTGACACAACGAACGAGCTGCATCACCTGCCGTGCGTGAGTCCCGACCTCCCGCTGTCCAAGGTCGGCCAGATTCGCATCGTGTCACTCGAGGCCACCAACATCATCTGCCGCCCCAACTCGATCTCGTTCCCCGACTTCAAGCAGCGTGTTCCGACGTCGCTCACGAGCCTGGGGCCCGAGATGACCAACTGTATCGTCCTCATAGGGCAGCCTCTGTGGCCCAAGATCGTCGACGTCACGGCGCGCTTCGACGACAAGACGGCCCGGTGCGACTACACCGTCAAAAACCTCAGGTGAGCGGATGGGATGGCTGCCTGATTCTGCATGAATGGGTGCGTGCTTTCAGATTCGCCATCGATGCGCCCACACTCACGGCCGACATCTTCATGGAATGCATCGTCAAGCCGGACCTGACGACCTGGTGGGGCAACGAGCAGCGGCTGCCCCTCATGGAGTGGGACAAGCTGTGCATGAAGCTGCTCGGCGTCCAGCCCACCCATGCCGTATATCGCGGCACCAATGACTTCGGCACCAGCTGTGTCGATCTCCCACCCATCATCGGCAGCACCTACCGCGCCGACCTGAGCGCGCTCTTCCTCCCGGTCAAGGCCCTGCACGAGGCCGCCAAATCGGGCAGGGCTGGGTGCCTGATCGAGGGTGTGACAGAGTACATGACCCGGCCGGAGCGTGACTGCGTGGACCTGCAGCAGCTCACTGCCACCGACGCGCCGGAGATTGGCGTCAGTCTCCTGTTCCCCAACGTCAAATTGAGGGACATCGGGTCAGTGTGAATGGCAGCTGAGGAGGGCGTGGCACGAAGTCAAGCACGCCATTCATTTCTCTGCGTGTGTGCCCGGCGTATGTGCGTGCAGGTACGGTGGAGACGTGCTGCAGCACGACAGCAGCGGGGCCATGTTGCCCTTCAGCATCAGCTACACGCTCAAGGCCTTGAGCGAGAATGGGGTGGCGGTCGAGAGGGTGACATTTTAGTGGCGTACGTGACATCACTGGACCTGAAGGTCGACGGCGTGACGACGGAGCCCGACTACCTCAATCACAACATTCACACGGCCAGCTGGTCCTACACGCCGACACCCGACGAGTACTCCTCCGCAATCATGAGCTGGACCCCGGTGACCAGCCTCATCTCGGCCCCTTCCGTTGCGCCCCGGAGGAGCGTCGCCAAGATCGGCCCCGACGAGCGACCCGACGAGCCCCTCAACGCACGGCACAAGGCCCGTCCCTCGGCGCATAGTGGGTGATACTGACCCATACAGATGCGCACACACACACACACACAAACACACACAAACGCACACACCATACTTACGTGCACGAAGGGAGGCGAGGCGGGCGATGTGGGTGGGTGGGTGGGTGTCCGTCATGTGTGTGATGACATGGCGACGACTTGAGCGAGGCTGACTCGCCGGAGCACTAACTCACGGAAATGGAGCACGGCTGCGCGTTTTCATGGCTTACTGGCCGGGAGACAGACAGACAGACAGACGGACGGACAGGCATGACAGATGTGACAGATATGTGGATCTCACACACACACACGTACACTTCCACTCGGACAAGGCTTCTCTTTTTCCACACAGACAGACAGGTCTGCCGTGCCGTAAGAGCGTATGCAAGTTTTTCCTCGTGACAACGGAGAGTGGGAGCGCCAAGGGCAGGGGGCGGTTTTGGTAGGGTGTGCTGGCGTAATGGTGGGTTTGTCTCCCTGTGTCTATCTGTGTCCTTGACGTGTTCAAAGACTTCTATGCCTCGCCTTTGTCTCTCGTGTGCGGATGGCCTCTCATGGCCGGCCGCCGTGTGGTGAGGCGCAAACACACGGCGGCACATAGACAGGCCCATCTCTCTCTCTCTCCCTCTCTCCGTGTATGTGTGTGTGGTGGACCGGTGTATTGGACAGAGTCGTTTTCATTATTGTACGTGCGCATGTCTGCGTGTGATGGGCACATGTATGTGGAGCGGCCAAGTGGCTTTTATTAATATCTCTCTTCCGGACCTTTCGTGTACACATACAGACAGGCAGACAGGCAGCCATGCAGACAGGCAGGCGTGGCACGTCCACGCCCTGCCGTTTTTCCTCCCTTGTACGATGGCTCTCTCTCTCTCTCATTCCCTCCCCTCGTTTGTTCCCTCACAGACAAGCCGGCCGTTTTGGATTCTTTGGCCCGTCCAGAGTGCTGTTGTGGGATTCCATCTTTGTCCGCCTTGTCATTTTGATGAATGGCTGGCTGGCGTTATGTGTCTGCCGGCCGGCCGTCTCAGCCGACAGGCAGACAGGCAGCGGGTGTGGCGCGGCTGTGGCTTACTGGCAGGCCGGCAGTGTGGCCCCGACAGACAGGTCCGTGCGGTGGGCCGGTGACATATGTACGATGGATGGATCTATAGGATGTCTTGATTTGATGTGTCGTGTGTGTTGGATATACATGGAAACTGTCTGCCTTGTCTGTCGTCCTCTTTTCATATCCCATTCATTGCATCGCATTGTATGCAAAGTACGTGCCAGTGTATTTCTCATCGCGGTGGGGTGGGGCGTGGGAGGTGGGGTGGTGGGGGCTGCATCAGGGGTGCATTAGGCTTACATGTTGCTGCCTCGACGTGCTGCTGCGGCGTTCAAGCTCACTCCCTCTCCCAGCCGCTGTTTTGATGTCTTGTGACTGATGACTCATGAAAGAGCTATAGTGCTGAGAGAGATTCAGTATATATATATCGGTACCATGCGCACGATTTGGTCCGCTTCGCTTGTCTTGTCTTGTCATGCCGGTCGACATATGACGTGCAGACGTACAAGTGTCTCTCCTGGCTAATTGGCTGATTGGGCAATTGGGTGGGCGCGCTTGCATTTATCCCACTCTATGATCCACTCCTGTATAGACAAAGAGCGCTGACTGATGGGTGCTGCGTGTGTGAGTGTACCTCATGGGGGTCGGGTAGAGTGCCGCAATAGCTAGGCTATATATGCGGGCGGTGTGAGTGATGTCAGTACGACGGGAAGTGTGGTGATGCATGATGCATCAGTGCATGGCTACAACTCCAATGCCCGCCATTGCGTGCACTCATTTGCCTCAACCCATCCCCCCTCGCACACGCGCGGCACACCACTAGTCAAGCTTGATGAAGATATTTCGTCATTTGATGAACATGCCGTTTTGGAAACGTGTCTCGGACATGCATGTATCCAGACATGCAGACATGTGCAATGTCTTCGGACACGCACGTATGCTCAGCACGACATGCAGGACACACATGAAACAGAGAGAGGTCAGTCATTGTCGTTCTGTGTTTGGCATCTTGGCACATGGAATGGCTGCATATGTGTGGACGAGGAAGAGACCTGGCAAAGACGACAGGGACACGTAAGCATCTGCAGCTGAGGAGTGCATGTGCTTGTTTGTGTGCGTGTCGGCCTATCTGTGCTTATTTCACTGAGGAAGTCCTGCTACTCTGGGACACATTTCACGACCAAATGTGACGCAGGACCAAAGCTATCCTTTCGCCAATGTGCTGATATTGGTGTGGTGACGTGACATATGCCGGTCGATCAACTCCTTCATCCAAACTTTCAGTCCATGAACAGACACGCATCATGAACAAGTCGTGTCGCACCCATCACATGCGATCGATGTCTGTCTGTCTGTCTTGCTGTGCTCAGCGGATGGCCCACAGCTCAATGTCATCCGCCACCTTCGTCTCGATGTCGGCCAAGTACCAGCGTGAGTCGGTCGGGCCGCAACCCACCCTGAGCATCATGTCCTCGCCTCGCTGACAAGAGACACACACACACAGAAGATACACTCACACAAGATACACACCACGTGACTGACTGGCACACCTACCTGCAACGAAACGAATCCACGGCCCAACCCGTCTGAGGCCATGGCCACACAGAGCTTGACGATCTTGGACGCCACGGGCAGCTGCATCGAGGGGTTGTTGGTCTTGATGTGCAGCATCACGGCGTGGACCGTCGCAGACGTCAGGGTGTGTGTGGGCGGCACGTCGGGTGGTTTGAGGGTGACCGTCGTGCTGCGCATGATCGTCACGTGGCTGTGCGGCTGGTCGCGGTCGCAGTGATGGATCATGAGACACAGTGGGCCGGAGGGGAGCTCGTGGCGTATGGCGTGCGAGAGTGAGTGGCACAGGTCACTCAGTGTGTGGTTCGATTCACTCGCCCTGCGTTAAAACACACACAGATGAGCACGTGCCCCTCTTATGTGTGGCTGCACATTTCCCTCCCCTTCGACTCACTCATTTGTGCAGCTTGAGTGACTGAGTGTGTGGCAGGTTCATGGCCCTGCACGTGGTCAGCACCGGCTCCAGGGCAGCAGCAGACACTGTTGCAGTATCCACCTTCTGCGGTGCGGCAGGGTCGTTGTACTGGTCCTGCCGACACGTGAGGGTGAGTGAATGAGCCATTCACTGGTCTTAGTGAGTGAGTGTTCCTGTCTATGTGTCACCTCATAAGTTGCCTCCACTACAATGTCACGAGGGTCCCTCGGAGGGTGATCCAATGTGTTGATGGTGAAGCCGCCTCCTCGCATGCTGTTAGGGAGCACCTCACGAATGGCATCGCCACGCCGTCGGTCGCGATACACGCCCTCCAGCGACAGCACCACACGCCTCAGGCCGCGCACGCCAGCGGTGAACAGAGTCGACAAGCCGCGTTGAATGCGCTCGGGAACGTCAGCACAGACGACACAAAGGCAAAGTGGATGGACACACACATATGATGACAATCACTGCCCTCCCGGCATACCTGCTAGTTCCATGTGTATTTCGCGACAGGATGGAAAGCGATCCGACCTCCACCCGTCGAAGGCGCCGCACTGCGTGAGGCTGAGACAAGCCAAAAAGGATCCACCCACTCGGACCTTTCCCACCTCCCTGCACAGAGGCCGGATCCTGCCGAAACAATAGTTGCAATCGCGTGGAGGCAGCAGTGATTTCCCTGTCTAATTCCTCATCTCCTTTCAGTCCGCTCACCATGAATGGTGGGGCTGCCCCATAATCGGGGTCGTTGGTTCTCTGCTTCTTCGTTTGCGGCCCTCTTTCGTTGGTCTGCCTGCTCACTGACTGCATCATCTGAACGAGCAAAAGTGAACAGCACTGAAACGGCTATCTGCCGGTGGGAGCGAAGTCGTGCTTACGCTCGTTGTGTCGACCACTGAGCGCTGCGATTGTCTGTCTGCGTCGCTCTCCCCGCTCATTCGCACAGCGCCACCCCAGTCCCTTTCCTGGGGGCTGGCGCTGTGCGTCGAAGCCCCAGTCCTGATCTGTACCGTGCGTCGAAGCCGGTCCAGTACAGCAAGCCAGGATGTGCGGGCATCCGAGCCCTCGCGGTCATTGACGCTGATGTCGATGGTGCCGTCCCGGTTGCGGTCAAGGTTGATTGGTTTCTTCAGATCCACCCTCTTCTCCCCCAATCCCTCCAGCACACCACTCCTGTCCTGTGCACTGAGTGCACTGACCCTTGCATCAAACAGGACGCTCTCCACTTCCATAGGCATCTTCTGCGCCAGCAAGCGGAAGGCAGCAACGCCCAGACGGCTGTTCAAATACAGCTGTCCCGCCCTCGAGAACGGCTGCAGGTGGTTGATGATGTCGGGGGCGGGTGGGATGGTGCCGAGAGGGGGGACGAAGCCATGGTCATCGTGAACCTCCACGACTCGCACCTTGTCGAACGAGAGGCTTTGTGCGATCTCGACGGCCGCCTGGCTGGGGGTGTCGATAGGGTGGGTGAGGTCGTGCTGGCTGATGGCGTATCCCACATGCTCCGCCTGCCGTGCCGCCTCCTTGATGGCCGTCTTGATGAAGGGGGATGGGCAAGGGGGGAATGCGTCGGCGTAGAAGACGGCCAAGTTGAAGATGTTCCCCTCGATCGTCACGTTGAGCGGCACCTCCGGCGAGATGCAGCACGTGTTGATGAAGCCGTCGACGGCCAGCAGGGCAGAGAGGCTGGTGTGGTACATGTACTGGAACTGTGGGATCTTCACGTCGAGGCCCGTCAACGACTTGCGGCAGCCACGCGACGTGAGCACATCCTAAAAAAAGAACACAGAGAGGAGAAGACCATTCGTGTGTGTGTGTGCACAGGTGAGGCCTCCCCTGTGTGGTGATTGATTGCTTACCTGCAGTCGTGTCGATCCCCCGTGTGTCACGTCCCCATGACGGTCATGCTCGATCCCTCCGATGGTCTGCAGGTGTCTGAGCGGCCCTGGCTGCCCGGCGGATGCGACGGGAAAGCGTTCAAACACAGCCGCCCACCATTCCCATGACCGCCGACACCCCCGCACTTGTTTCAGCGATGACGAGGAGCTGATGAATCGGCCCAGGACGTCGGCACCCCACCCCCACAGCTCCACACACTGGAGTGCGGGCATCTTCCAGCCCCTGTTGACCAGCTCACTGTGCTCACCGAAGGCACCAGTGACGGCGCTGAGGGCATGGAGGGTGGAGGGTTCGGTGAGGGGGGCAGGGAGGGAGGACAGGTTGGTGGTGCTGCTGGTGGTGGTAGTGCTGGTGGTGAAGTCGATTGTCTCCAGCGATCCCTTCGCCATGTGCTGCTGCCCCTCCTTCTTGCACGCCTCCCGCCGCCCGGCCGCATGACCCTCCACGACGCTTATCATGGTGCCCAGACGCCAAGACTGGTCGAAGAATGGCTGCACGAGGCTGACTGCTGTCAGGTTGACGAGCCGTCTGCCAAGCTCGAAGGCCGCCTCAGGCGTCATGCTCTCCCAGAAGTGGCGGTCCTCCTCGGTAGAAGAGTCGATGGCGATGGCGATGTGTGTCTGCTGGTGGAAGGCCCCCTTGCGGACTTGCGGCCACTGCTTGAGGAGTGTTGGGAGGGCTGACAACTCGCGAGGGGTCATGAAGCTGAAGACAAACGACAGGTGGTCGTCGCCAAGACCACAAGGGGCCTGAGTCAGGGAGAGCAGCCAGCATGAGAGTGAGCCGCGTCACGAGTGTGGCTGTGTGTGTGTACCATTGTGTTATCCTCCTGATCAGCAGAGTTCTTGTGAGTGAGGCGGAAGCCGCCATGCGCCTGGGCGTACACCATCACACACACATGCGGTGATTGAGTGGACGTGTGGACGTCGCGTGTACCTGTTGGCCATGCGGTGATGTCTTTGTCTTGCTATGCGGCACCAGCACTTTGAACTCCTCCCGGTGTCCGCCCACCTCCCTCAAGTGAAGCGCCGTCCGTCCACTGCCCTCCTCGATGCGATACACGTCGGCCTTGACCCACCTCTGCTTGCCCTTCTCCCGCCAGTTGGTCACCATCAGCACACGACTGCCCTGTTTGTAACGGTACGGCGTCGGGGATGCCATTGCCTGACGAACCGAAGAGTCAAACGAACAAAGGGATGAGTCAGTGATGCTCTGACACATTGATGAGTGTGTGTGTTTGTTGTGCTTTGACTGACCTCGCCGTGAGGCAAGGCAGACGACGAAGATGAAGGCGCCGCTGCTGCCATGGCGCCACTCGAACACGGCTGACGAGCTTAAGGGCCCCTGTGTCGGCCGAGGATTACTATCGAGGAGGCCGACCTCCCCGGGCACTCACGCCGACTCAGTGAGTGAGAATCCGCTGTACATGTACAGCACGCTATCCATTCATCGAAAGCAGCGGGTTCAGGCAGCACCCTAGATGGCCTGACGGCCAAGATTCAAGAAAGGACTAGCAAAGGGGACCAGGCCACGGACGCATGTGGCTGGGTGGATGCCTGCAGGCATCAACACGTTGGGTGAGCTCTAGGCTGCACTCGATCCCCACCTACTCATCGGCGGCCAGAATGTGGGCAGTACGAGTGGCATCGTCATGTGTGCCTTGCGCGTGTCTGTCTGTCCGAGTGTCTGTCCTGTTTGTGTGTGTGTGTGTGTGTGTGCAGGTGTGGCTCAAGCACAGGGAAAACGTCTTGTTTGTTTCTATCTGTCAGTCACTGTGCGCACAAAACATTCAGACACGCACAGAGAGCTAGCTAGGGAGAAGGAAGGTACTAGATAGGTAGGTCGAACAAATACACATACATACACACATACACACAAGAAGCAACGCAACCATTCGAGTGTCGTTGCGTGTCGTGTGCTGCCCTCCCTGGCTGTCCGTCCGTCCGTCTGCCTGTCTGTCCTAATTCTCCGACTGGCCTGTACGCTGCAAATACGGCATCGTTCACACGCACACGTATCGCAAATGGCGGAGGGAAGGAGGGAATCTACCTACCGGCATTGAAAGGAAAAAGGACACAGGCAGGCAGGCAGGCTGGGTCGAAAGAGTACTAACACAGCCCTTCTGCCTCCCTCCCTCCCTCCCGCCTCTCCCTCCATCTATCACTGTTGCTGGCTGGCTACATTCACTTTCACATTCACCCACCCAGAGCTGCATTGTGACTATGGCTACCTGTCAGTCGCCCTCTCACCACCCATTAGGGATACATACGATGAATGCGAACAAGACACGTCAGACACCAAAACCCCTCCCGCCCACTCGGCCACCGTTCCCGCAGTTGAGAGTGGGAATGCGTGTGGGCCGTTTTGTCGATGCGTTGATGGATGCACTAATGGGTGTACGTGTGGCGCTTGTTGGGTGGGTGATGGACACCTGAACTCGTGTGTATCCTTCAATCCATCGATCCGTTCACCAAAGCAGCACGCAGTCCCACCTCCACAGTTCCAGGCCCTCAACGACGCACACGCACACAACTATGGTCTGTCACCCATGTAGTCTGTTGCCAATGTGTGGCACACATGACTGCCACCCCACACTCACACCCATAGCCACACCCACACCCATAGCCACACTCGAGAGAGCCGCCAGGATTTGGCCCAAAAAACACAGAAGGCCAGAAAAAGCACGAGGGAGGGAGGGAGGGAGGGATGGGGGAGCGTGTCGGCGGCCAGCTACGCAACTAGCGCAACTCGCGCGGGTGAGAAAGCAGCAGGTACACAACAAGTACACTACTGCCATCCTTTCTCTCATCCACATTCGATGACACCGAAAAGATGTGCTCACTCACACATGACGGTCACCCACTCCACATGCAGCACACACGGCCTTTCCTCCCTCCCATTTGGACTCAGCTTGCTTCAGCGATCGAGTTGGCGTCCTCGGAGGCGGCGCCGGTCGCATGTCAGTCTCAGGAAGAAATTGCCGTCATAGTCGAGGTCCTCATCCAATTTTGCCACCTCCATGTCCAGACCCTCTCCCTTGCACTCCTTGATATCGTCGCCGTAGCCGTGCCAAGTGGCGTCGCTGACGGTGCTCTGCGCGTGCCAGTAGATCTCCCACTCGCCGTCCACTTGGAAGGGGAAGTACCCCTTGTCGTTGTCGGGACTGACACTATACCAGTCGCTGCAGACCCAGTCGCCGGATCTCGGCTTGTAGTGGACGATAATCCTGATGGGCTCATGGCATTTGTTGATGACGCCGATTTTTCTCCACTGCACGCACACCCCCCACATAGGTGCATTCACACAGGCTGTGTTCACAGATTCGCGTGGATGCATATACCGTGACAAGCCTGATCTCCACGGTGCCAGATATGGAGCAGCTACTCGGTGTGTCGCCAGTTCCCCTGGTTGTGGTTGGCTCGGGGTCCCCCACAATCTCCACAGACTCGAGGCGCCATTCGTCCCCCCACTCCGCGGCACGCTGACGCCCTATCGCCTCGCCCTTCTCGATGAGGGCCGACTGGTCACACCTCCTGACGCCCTCGTGTGAAACGACTTCTCTGAAGACTTGCTCATCGTCCTGCAGACGGCGACTCCCGCCGTCCTCGCCATCAGCAACCTGCACACACTCACATACACACACACATACACACAGTGTCACCAATAAGAAAATGTGTTATGCAAAGCCATGATTGCCCACGTTGTTATCGAGAGGAGCGGTATCGAGATCTGTCTCGGTGGTGGACACTGACTGCACACACGCAAAGCAGCACAACCAGATGGGAAGAGAACCGACACACAGTGACAGGCGCCCTCCCTACCGTCTCGTTGGTGGCGGCATCGGCAGCTGATGGGTCGGCCACAGTGGCCGTCGTGTTGGTGTTGGAGGGGGCAGCACCGCACACAGCAGCGAGGCCGACAAGGCACAGCAAGATCTGAAGCTTCATCTCGAAACAGAGAGGTGACGACGCGGTGACGACGCAGTTGATGGTACAGATGAGCACAGTAAAGAATGAAGACTGTCTGCCGCGCTGAGGGGACCCACGTTGCTCTCGGAGAGATCCGTGGATATGGGAACCTCGCCATGCCAGGCGGCCAGGTTTCTGCGGATGTGCGAAACTCCCCATGTGTTTGGTGGTGGGCGGGAGGCTCCCGTACCTCATCGGCATGCGCTTTGAGGGACGACCAAAACAGGCATGCACGCGGCCGGGGAGCTACAGATGGAAAATGTCACTGTCGGCACACACGTACACCTACGCGCACACTAAGTACCAGAGAGAGCTGGGCAGATGGCCATCCAATCAATACGTCTGTGCGCAACAGTGATAGACAGGTGGGTAGTTCCAACAAATACACATACATACACACATACACACAAGAAGCAACGCAACCATTCGAGTGTCGTTGCGTGTCGTGTGTTGCCCTCCCTGGCTGTCCGTCCGTCTGCTTGTCTGTCCTAATTCTCCGACTGGCCTGTACGCTGCAAATACGGCATCGTTCACACGCACACGTATCGCAAATGGCGGAGGGAAGGAGGGAATCTACCTACCGGCATTGAAAGGAAAAAGGACACAGGCAGGCAGGCAGGCATGGCGAAGACAGTCGGACTAACACAGCCCCTCTGCCTCCCTCCGTCCTTCCCTCTATCGATCACTGTTGCTGGCTGGCTACATTCACACCCTTCCGCCCGAACAGCTGCATTGCATTCATTGTAACTATGGCTACTTGTCAGTCGCCCCGCCCTCTGTCCATCCATCCATCCATCCATCTCTCCATGGATGAGACACAAACAGGACAAGACAGACAGACGCCAAACCACCTCACCTCCCACCCCTCCGCCGCCCACTCGGCCACCGTTCCCGCAGCCTCTCTGTATATGCGTCACTCCTTCATGCTGTCCTCCCTGCCCACTCCATTCTGTCCGTCTGTGTCGCCCCCGCCGTTGGCCGTCAGGATGGAGGGGAAAGCCGCCGGCTGTCCTGACGACGTCTCGCCGTCACACATCATCGACCCATCGGCACCTGAAGCAGATGCCACAGCCGCAGCAGCAGCGGTCGGCGCCTTCTTGGGGCTGATTGATGCCATGGTCTCGTCCTCCGGCTGCTGGTGGTGGTGCTGGTCTGTGTGGTCAGGGGGGTTGCCATTGAGTAGGGGAGGGGGTGCTGGGTCGGGTGCCTCGGGTGGGGGGGAGGGTGTGGCGTTGCCGGTGCCGGTAGCGTCTGCTGTGGTGCTGTTGATGATGGACGTGTCGAGCATCTGCTTCTGCTTCTTCTTGATCTCGATCTTGATGCCACGCTCGTTGGACGGGCGGGTCGTCGATAAGGACTGGCCGCCCACACCTGTGCACACACACACACCCACACACACACACTGCTCGCCATTCTTCTCCGTCTTCCTGGTTGTGTGACGGACCAGATCGCCTGTTGCCAAAGTTGTTCCTCTGCCCGTTGTTGCCCCATGCGCTGCCCGAGTCGTCATTGTCATTGCCGAAGAGCCCCGTGAGGCCCGTCGTGGGGCTGTCGCCATTGTTGTCATTGTCATTGGTGGTGTCCTGCTGGTCCAGGTCATTGTCGCCGCCCATACCGATGAACAGCCCATTGCCGTCGCTTCCGTCGCTGCTCTCGACGGCGTCCTTGCCTGCAACGTCGCACCAGAAGCGCCTCTCTGCCTCACTCAGACTCGACCACGGACGGGGTGCCTTCAACCTGATGGACGACGGACACATGTGAGGGCTCGCCTATGTGCATATCGATGATGTGAGTGTGTCAGTGTCAGAGCTCACTTGGGTGCGACGAGTATGGTGATGAGTCCCTCCTCACAGCCGTCATGGTCCGCGTCGTGGAGCTTGATGAGTATGTCGTCGTTGGTGTGGACGTCGCCCATGGAGGCCCTCCATGGCGAGATCATGTCGTACAGCGCGTAGCCCAGGTCGTCGGTGTACAGCTTCGACTGCCGGGAGGACGACCCGCGACTCGACGACAGACCGCCCAGACCACCGCCCCCGCCCCCGAAGGAGCCGTTGAATGACGTGTAGTGTGTCATCCTGCATGAGCCGTAGAGGAGGCTGTTGCCGGTGCTGCTGGGGGGCAAGTTCTCGTAAAGGTCATTGTCGCATGTGGAGTCGATGGCATTGGTGTTGCCGTCGCCACCAGCAGCGGCCGCGGCTGCTGAGGAGGATGAAGAAGACGCGGCGGCCATGTTGACGTCGCCCTCTCGGTCGACGAGGGGCTGCTGCTGCTGCTGCTCGGGTGGCTGGTCGGGTGCTGCGTCTGATCGGGGTGTGGAGAGGTCCTTGAAGTCCTCACTCTTGACGCGGACGAGGTCGACGAGGCCCCGGTCGGGGTAGCGGTCGTACAGGCTGCGGGACATGCCGCTGAGCGTCGTCTTGCGCTGGTCGTACAGATAGCTGAAAAATCGACCACAGAAGAAATGTGTATGCGTGTGCGAGGGGTGAGTGTGTTGAGGGTTGTTTGCTCACAATTGGAGGTGCTCAATTGGCGTTTGCCAGTGGAGCGCGACTTGCTCGGCGATGGTGGCGATGCCCTCCACCTGACACCCCGTGGCGTTGCGATGACCAACCTCCAGGTAGATCTGCACACACACACCACACACACAGACACACACACACATCGAGCAGCAAAGTGGATGGAGACGCATTCAGGCTCATCGGGTGGCTGTTTGGATGCTGACCTGGTGGCATGGCGTGAGTGACCAGCCGGACCAGTCGAAGAACCGCGTCAACACGAAGAAGCCCTTCTTGCTCTCCAGGGGCGGCAGCGGGGAACACAACTGACACAGGATACCACACACAGCACACAGACAGAGAGAGCCCACACAGGAGTGACTTTGCTATCTCCCTCCCTGTCGTTCCGTAGATACCCACACACGCCCTCACTCACCTGTACGAGCAGGTCCGCCTCGGTCACCTCGGCATTGAGCGCCTTGTTGCTCACGCCCGTCCCAGGTCGGTCATTCGGCCGGTAGGGGCGGTACGGCCACCGCAGCGGCACACGCCCGACCCCATCGCCCTTCTGCTCCTTGCCCATCCGGCACAGCAGCATCTCATTCTGATGGTCCACCTCCTGCCAGTCCTTCTTGTCCACAGGCAGACCCAATCCAGGAGGCCCCCGGGTCATGTGCTTGAGCGCCTCAGCCACATTCGGCTTGTAGTGTAGCCCGACGCGGCCCCGCGGTCGTGGCGGTTGCGGTGGCGGGGGCAGGCTGGTGGTCTCCTTGGTGCGGTTGGCTTGCAGCACGACCAGGTGGCTGTGGACCTCCTGCTTGACCTCACTCACCGAGCGGTCCTTGTCTTGCGGCAGCACCAAGAAATCCACCTGGACGATGCGGCCGAGGCCGTACTTGGCCTGCACGTCCCGCAGCTTCTTCTGCCGCAGGTTGCGCTTGCCACGACGGTTGTTGCTGTTGCCCTCAGGTGGCCCCATCCCACCGCTGCCGCCTCCCATGCCCCCGCCCTGCACCGGGATGCCCGTGACGCTCGAAGACACGGCGGCCCCGTCGGCCATGCCCATACCAGACACATCGGGGCCGCCCCCGCTCTCGTCGCCCTCACTCTGGCACACGGTGGATGGTGTCCTCGTGTAGCCCTCGCCGCTGGATGGCGCCCCGCCGCCCCCGTCAGCGCCGCCTTCAATGCTGCCCAGGTTGGGCACGGGCGGGCACAGCTCCTCGCTGCGCGTGGGGATGAGCTTGTGGGGAACGTGGCCGGGCTGTGTGGGCTCGGTCGGCAGCAGGGTGTCGCTGGTAGAAGATGCAGCGGCAGCTGCTGCAGCAGCTGGGTAGCCCCAGGAGGACGAGCTGGCGCTGGCGCCATCTATGACGCTGTTGAAGGGCTGCTGCTGGTGCTGGTGGTGCTGGTGGCTCATGGGGTCGGTGAATGGTGAGGGTGAGTGGTGGTGGCGGGTGGATTCGTTCGGCGGTGTGCCCTCGGGCTGGTCCTCCTCCTCGATGCGCTGCATGCGTGTGGGCGGCTGGAGTGAGCGAGTGGGGAGGGTGGGGGAGGGGACGTGGGGATGGGAGTGGGGAGGGTGACCATGGGGATGGGAGAGGGGCAGCGCGTCGCTCGACGACGAGTGAGACGTCTCGGGACGGCCAACACCGGTCTGCATGGCAGGCAGGCAATGACATGCAATGCCTGCCTGTTTGCAGAAATGTCCGTCTGTTTGCTCACCCCAGGTGGCGCGAAGAAGCTGCCATCAGTGCGTGGGGGGTGTCCGTTGGCATCGCCGGTGGCCGGCAGTGGTCGGAACTGGATGCGGTGGTTGTCGGGCGGCAGCAGCACGAAGAGCCTAAACCGCATGTGGTTCTCGTCGATGGTCAGCCCCTCACACACTGCCAGACGGATGTGCGTCGTCGACGATGACCACATCTCTGCACGCCCGCAATTGGTGAGTGAGGTCCATCAATGTGTGTTTTGTGTGTGTCTCCGCCCACCTGAGTCGTCCATGAGGCATTTGTCGAGGTCGCCGGTGTAGATTTCCTTGCCCTTGTTGTTGTGCCAGTACGAAGAACCCAGCTGCCCGAACCGCACCAGATGGATGTTGTCCTGCACACGGAAATCGCACCACACAAAGATGATTGTCCCGGCCATGTGTGTATGTGTGTGTGTGTGTGTGTGTGCGCAGTCGTCCGATGACGTACCTCAGGCAGCCCGAATTCCATGGCGATGAGCATCCGCAGCTGCCCCCAGGTGGCGGTGCCCGCCACCTTGAAGCGTGTGTTGTACTCGTTCATGGAGGGGTAGGCCTTGAGCTTGGTCCTGAGCCCAGGCTGCAGCAGGTCACGGTGAGACTGCTCGAACGACACGTCGTAGTCGACGCCCTTCGCACTGCAATCACGCAGTCATCCAACCATCGTGCTTTTTGCTCTGTCGTACCGGTAAGTGATGATCATGTCGGAGATATTGTTTTGCGCGAGCCATCGGAGGGCGACGAGCTTGGCGCGGTTGGTGTCGGTGCCCCACGCAGAGGTGCTTCCGCCCATGCCCACACCGCCGCCAGTGCCCCATGACGATGACGAGTTGGTCGCCGGCGACCAGGCTGATGTGGCGGTGGACTGCTGCTGCTGGCCTTCTTTGGACGAGACGACCTGCTCGATGAGGCTGTCGATGTCGTCGACCTCCACCCGCTCGACCCACAGGTAGTTGGGCGACAGACCCACTGGTGGATGGAACAGGGAGGCCACGCACGCTTTTGTGTTTTCGCTGGGCCTGTGTGTGAGTGCGGCACTGGCTGACCCATGCCTTTGTTGACGTGTTCATCTGCGAGAATGATGTCCTTGAGCCAGTTCTTCTTGACGGGCTTCTTCATCAGCAGCTGAGACGTCACCGGCAGACCCTTCTTCTGCTCTATCACCTTCTTGACGGCAGCTGAAACACACACACACATATCCATCCATCCATCCGTGAGTGTTGGCCACCTCCCTCCCACGTCCCTCACCGAAGGTGTCGTTGTGCTTGACGATGACGGAGAACGGCTCCTCCAGGGAGTGCGTCTGCCGGTCCCACACCCGCACGTAAAACTCCTCCCAGTCTCTGCCCAGCGAACTCGGCGGCCATGCCCCCTTGCCCCCGCTCTCCGTCGCCTCGCGGAACTCCAGGCCGAACTCAGGGTGGTCATAGTGCCACACAAACCCGCGGTCCTTGGTGTAGGCGTCCCAGAACTGCGCATCGCCCTTGACGCGGTGCCGCCCCTCGTCCGTCTTTTTCCGTCCACCGGTGCTCTTGTTCTGCGGGAGGCCGAAGGGGGAGGTGCCGGTGCCCTTCTTGTCGTCGCCTGCCGTGTTGCTGCTAGTGGTGGTGCAGAGGGGCGGCTTGGCGTTGCCGGACCGGGGGCTGCAGAGGGCGTTCATGGAGGATGTGTTGGCTATGTTGGCTCGGCTGCTGCTGGGGGGTGCGTCGGGGGTGCTGGAGATGAGCCCAATGCGCCCGGCCGTGTCGTGTTGCTGCGCCGCCTCGTGCAGCAGGCGGCTGGCACTGCTGCCATCCGTGTGACTGGCGGCGAGGGGGTTGATGGGAGGGACGCTCGATGCCCGCCCGCCAGCGGGAGGGTCCACCTGCATGGCGTCACGGGTGTCCTGATCACCACTCCCTCCACCACCATCACCGCCACCAGCAGCAGCGGTCGACGTGTTGGCATCGGCCATGGCCACGTCTGCCTGCTCGCGCCTCTCTCGTGTGTCCTCGCCAGCCATGTCGCTCCACTCGCGGCGCTGGTCTGCGTCAGACGGCACCCCCACCAGCACAGCAGGTGGCTTGTGGCTGGGCCCGGGGTTGCCCCAGTCGTCCTCATTGCTGTCCTCGGGGTTGTGGTGGATGTCATGGTCGTTGCCCGTGACGTAGTCGGTCTTGCGGTCCTCCTCGATGCCGTTGGGGTTGCCTGTGTCGTCGGTGTCGGGGTCCACTTCGGTGGGGTTCAGGAGCTCGTACGTATGGGAATCGGACTGGTAGAGGGAGGAGTGGGAGCCGTAGGTGCTCTTCTTGATGGACCGCAGACGGACGTCCTCGGCGTTCTTGCCTGACAGACAGACACAAGGAGGAGGGGGGCGCGGAGCCGCGTGTGTGTGTGTGTGTGTGCATGTGACTGGGTCTATGTCTCGTGTCTGTGTACCAACCCTCTTTGTCGAGCTGGAATCGCCTGAAGATCTTCTCGAAGACCGCCTGAACCGGATCAGTCTTCTTGACCGTCAGCTGCACACACAAAGCATCACAAACACCTCACACACCATCACCGCCCGTCCAGCACCTGCTGCCGGCCGACCTACCTTGCAGCTGACGTCAGTGAACTCCAGGGGGTCCTGCTCATCGTCATGGTCGCCGTCATGGGACAGCGTCAGATACTCAAAACCCCGGCTGATGCTATTGCCGCCGCCCCTCGGTTGCCCACCCGCACCAGCACTAGCACCGTTGCCGGCCTGCTCCTCGGTGAGTGGTCCGATGATGGGCATGATGGGGACACCGCCGGCAGCACAGTCGGCGCCCTGGCCCTGGTCGGAGCCTTCCTTCTCGGGCTCGGGCTCAACACACGGGGCTGCAGGGAGGATGACAGACAGGAGAGAGGAGTGGTGGGCATGTCTGTAGGTTGGTAGCGCGTGTGTGTCTTGAATGGGTGGGTGAGTACCATCGTCCTTGCCCTGGGGGTCGCTGGTGAGCGGCGGGGGGCTCTCAGACAAGGCGGCGCTGAGCATCGAAGAGAGAGAGGCAAAGGCGAAGAGCGCGTCGGTCGGTCCTTCCGCTTAGTGGGGGTGACAAATCGTCTGTCTTACGGTGGGTCGTGTGGCTGCTGGAGCACGTCGAGGTCGTTTGCGAGTCTTGCCTCCCAGTGAGCCTTGTCCTTGGCCAACACACGCAGGTAGACCTTCAGCTCCACCTGCAACACATTCACAACACAGACAGACAGACAGACAGCAACACGTATTAGACACGCATATACACACCTGTTGTTTGGCTAACCCACCTGTTGTTTCTTCTCCTCCTTGCGCTCCTCCTCCCTGCGGATCGCCTCCTCCATGTCGTCTACAACTTTCTGCGACGGGGTGGTGGAACAGGTGCAACCAATGCAGCGGCACGAGCCTGACTGCACGTCCGTCTGTGAGTGTGAGAGCAGACTGACCTTGATGTAGTGTGGGACGACCTGGTTGTCTGGGAATGCGATGCTGTCGCGGTCCACATCACCGCCCACTTGCCTGCACACACTCGGATGAGGTGGGGTGGGGTGGGGTGGATGGAGGTGCTCTTACAGGCCGTTTGTTTGTTTCTGGTGGCTCATTCACTCACTTGTAGACGAGTAGGTAGGCCGTGGTACCCGACTGGTTGAACGCAAAAAACTGCCGCTCTGAGCCAGTGAGACGCACACACATGCACAGGGATGCCGTCGTGTGTGGGAAGGAGAGACAGGGGGCACTCCTTTTGTTTGCTCACTCACCCCCGAAGGCCTTCTCGATGTCATACGGGCGCACGGCGGTCACATTCGAGTCGTCAAAGCGATACCTGAGTGAACAAAACAACAGTTGCAGAACATTGACGCTCAGACGAGGTGTTTGGGCTGTGCGTGTGTGTGTGTGTGTGTGTGCGCTGACCATCGTTTCTTGGACAGGTCTTTGATGAACGCGTAGTAGTGTCCGCTCCAGGCAGACCCCGAGTGGATCAGAATGGAGAACAGCTCATACACAAACGGACCCCGACGCCTGAACCAGTCCACCACACACACACACACACAGATGCCCTCACGTCTCTCTCTCTCTCTCTCTCTGCATGCACTTGTATTCCTTGATCATCTTTTGTGTGTAGGCCTCGTCGAGGAACTTGTCACCCGAGCACTCCGGCGGCGCACCAGCAGCGCTCGACGACTCGCCTCCACCCGTACCCAAACCGCCACTGCCGCCCTGATTCCACCCCCAGCTCTCGAGATTCTCATCGTCCCGTGGCCTGGACCCCCCCAGCAGCGTCTTGTTCTCGCCCTTGTCGTCGCTTCCTAGTGGGTCGCGGTCGGTCATGTGTGCGTCGTCCGATGCGGGTGAAGAACAGAGGTGGGCATTCAGCCCAGGGGGCCCGCCTCCCGATGCTGATGTCCCTGCGGCTGCTGATGCTGCCGCCGCCGGCGCACTGCCCAGGAGTGCATCGGTCTCATTGAGGCCACCATCGAGCTGAAGCGAGCCTAAACGGTCAGATGGATGGAGGACACACAGAGAGTGAATGCAGTCATCTCATCGTGGATCTGTGGCCATGGCCCAGCCTTCCTTGTGTCTGTGCGTACTGTGGTGGAAGGGGCCGTTGGTCACGGCCGCGAAGCCGCTGAGGTCCTGGTCGTCGTTGGGGTCGCCCCCGCCCATCTCGGCCTTGTTGCTGTCGTTGTCGCTCTCGCCCCCGTTGTCAATATGGCTGGCAAACGGACCCATATTGACGGCGCCGAAGCTGCCGGTATTGTGGTCGCTGTCGGTGTTGTGCGGGATGTCTGCCAGCCGCGATGAGGGGAGGGGGTCGTTGACACTGGCCACGTCGGCCATTGAGGTGTTCTCGTGTCCGAATGTGGGTGTGCGGGCGGTGGGGTTGGCCTCACGGTGGCCCATGGGCTCAGATGAGGGGGCGGGGGCGGCGGTGGGGTTGTCCTGATTGGTGGTGGTGGGTGGTGTGGTGGATGTGTCGACGGCAGCCATGTCGGTCTCATTGTTGTCATTGTTCTCTGTCTTGCCCTCTCCTGTTCCCGCTCCGCCTCCCTCGGCCTCGGCCTTGGCCGGCCCGACGGCCTTGGCGTCGATGGCGGCCTCGTCGACGTCCTCATGCACATGCTTGTTCATGTCCAACACCGGCGGGAACGTCACCTGAGCACAGACACACACACACACCCCACACAGACAGACAGACAGACAGACGCCCATGTCTGTGTGTTGGAGGGGGCATGGCAGGTTGTGTGTTGGGGGATGTCTGCTGGCTGACCCGGTCGATGATTTTCCTGCGCTGGAATGTGGTGTAGTCGAGGTCGAACCGCTTGAGCTGCAGCGTCAGGTAGCACGGACACTTGCCGATCAACAAACCCTGCACATGGCACACAACACACGCTGCATGTCCCAATGGGGCTGGGCCGGTGGTGGGTATTGAGTGTGTGTTGTGATGTGATGCTGGCGAAATTTTTGACCTTGGTGGCGTCGACTTTTTTGTTGCACTTCTCGCAGTTGTACTGGTTGTCGCCCTCTAAGTTCTGGTGACGAAACACATCAAGGTGGCCATTAGTGTGGTGTGGTGTGTGTGTCTGGCCGGCCATTAATTAGTGTGGTGCGTGCGTCTTGTGTTGCGTGTGGTACCTACCTCTGGGTGGAGGAAGTTGTCGAGTGCCTTCTCGAGTGAGTCGTTGAAGATCTGCTCAAACTCGCTACGCACATTCAGAGAGATGTCCAGAAACTGATTAGCACACACACACACGAACAGAGCCACAGACACAGACACACAGAGGATGTCACGTGTTTGTGCGTGTGCGGGCCATGCAGCCCCGCTGGCCAGCTCCCTACCTACCTTGTCAGAGTGTTTGGAGACGTATTTGCATTCTTTGCATCTGACGTAGTCGATGAGCTCCCCCTGGTAGAGGTGGTTGATGAAGTCGTCGCTCTCGTTGCTGATGCACGTCGACTCGATGGCGTCGAACAGCACACGGCAAAACTCCTGCACACACATGACCACACACACGTGGACACATCTGTGTTGTCTTGCATGTGTGTGTGCATGGCTACACACCTGCACATCATGTTGCTGGAAGGACTCTCGAACATCCCACTGAAAGCTACGCGTCAGATCCTACACGCACCTCCACACCACACACCGCACATGCACACCCCACAAGCACAGCCACAGCCGCCCCCCCGCACGCACCTTGGTCTCAGCGTAAGACTGGTGTGAGAGCTGCAGTATGCCGAATAGCTTCTGCAGCTGGTAGGGGATGCAGTTCTCCTTCTCGACGTCCTCCTCCTCATTGTAACTAACCACACAATACCACACACAATGCCACACACAACACCCGTTGGTGTGCATGTGTGTGCTGCGGTGTGGTGGTGCGTACTTCCAGGCGTAGATGCCGGTCCTGAACTCGGGCGTCATGTAGAGGGTCTGCAGGAGGCTGTTCATGTAGCACGTCGCGCCCTGGTTCGACAAACCCACATAGTCTGAAGTACACACCACACACACACCCACACCCACACACCGCACAGAGACATTTGCCGGCACCAACGCCCTCAGACACCCATAACCTGCCCCCCTCCCCCCTCCCTGTCCACCTGCACGCCTCTGCCTTCCCTCTCCCTCTCACCGTTTCGCTTGCCCGTGGTGCTGGTGGTGCTGTTTTTGTTGTCCCACGTCTCCTCCTGCATGGGTGCACTGCTGGCGGCGGCCGCAGCCGCCCTGCTCTCATCGTAGGGCATGATGGCCGTGCACACGCTCGACTCGGCCATCGTCACACTTCACACGCAGATGTGCCGGCTGCTGGCGGTCGGGCTGAGGATGTGGCAGGGAGGAGGGATGGGCGTGTGATGGTCACCAGATAAGCGAGAGGGCGGGGAGAGCGGCTTGTTGGCTGGAAAGGTTGTCGTAGGCATTGGTCCGTCTCGGTCAGACGACGGAGCGAGAGATGCGCATCACTGACATCGCTGGCGCTCCGTCTGTCCAATACACAAGCTACCCGTCAGCACAGATCTCTACTTCACAAACTCACTCCTCTTCGATGCGAGCCGAGAAAGGCGAGCTTGGGGAAGGAAGATCCGCGCCGCTCCTCCTTTCCCCTTCCCCGGTATACAGAGGTCTTGGTGGGTGTGCTTGTTGCTGCTGCTGCTGCTGTTGCTGCACCACCAGCGGCATCTGTGGTTGTGCGTCGGCATGAAGGTGCTGTTGACGGGCGGCGCCGGCTTCGTGGGCGGCCACACATGCGAAGTGCTGCTCAAGAGGGGAGACGAGGTCAGACAAGACATACAAAGCCAAACACACACACGGCACGGCATAAGACAGACAGACGGACAGAGTCACCTTTGTCTGCGCGAGATCTCGCTGGATGGATGTGTTGTGGATGCGTCTGTTGTGTGTGCGGTGTGGTGTGTGCAGGTGGTGCTGCTGGACAATGTGAATGACTACTACGACCAGCGCCTGAAGGAGCACACCCTCGACATACTCAGGAGCGTCCCCACCGGCAAACTCACCGAATACCTCATCGACCTCAGGGACCTCGACGCGGTCACTAAGGTGAGTGGCGCGACAACGGGACGGGCGGGCGCGTGTGAGTATCTGCATGGCCATGTGCCCGTGGGTGTGTGTCAGGTGTTCGAGGAGCACAAGTTCGACGTCATCTGTCACCTGGCGGCTCAGGCTGGCGTCAGACACTCCATCCAACACGCCATCTGTAGGCCGTCATCAAAACCGACAGAGAGAGAGATGGATGGACACATGGATCGGTTATCGCCACACGCACGGCGCCTGCTTGCATGTGTGTGTTGTTCAGCGAATGTGCAGACGAACATCTTGGCGACCGTTCACCTGTTGGAGTTGTCCAGGAAGCACAACGTGCCCAACTTCGTCATGGCCTCGTCGTCGAGCGTCTACGGCAAGAGCTCCACACCCCCATTCAGCGAAGACCAACTCTGCAACAAACCCGTATGCAGCCAAGCGGGCAGAAAAGGACACACAGATGCGGCATTGCATGTTTGCCGTCGTCGGTGTTTTTGCGTGTGTGTGTGTGTGTGCGTGTGTGCAGATCAGCCCTTACGCTGCGACGAAGCGGAGCTGCGAGTTGTTTGCGCACACGTACCACCACCTGTACAACCAGAATGTCACCTGCCTCAGATTCTTCACCGTATACGGACCCAGGTCAAACACCGACACACACACACAGATCGACACACACACACACACACAGAGAGACATTGACCTGTGTGCACGAGTACGAGTGATGGATGTGTGTGTTTCAGAGGTCGGCCTGACATGGCTGCGTACAAGTTCATCGATCGCATCTACCACGACAGAGCCATCGACAAATATGGAGACGGATCTGCCATCAGGTACTCACACACACACACACCCCACACACTCGTGCGGCCCTTGCAATGGCCCCTCCCACCAATCGGTTGCTCAACAGGGAGTTCACTTACATATCTGACATAGTGGATGGCGTCATCGCAGCCATCGACAACCCAAGACCATACGAAATCGTCAACCTCGGTACGCAAACATGCAAACACTTATCATTTGGCATGGCTGCTTACATGGATCAGTGTGTGTGTAGGTGGTGGTGCGACGCACACGTTGAACGAGTTGATATCGACGATCGAGAAGCACTGCGGCAAGAAGGCACTCATCAACCAAATGCCTGACCAACCCGGCGATGTGCCGCTCACCAGGTGGACCAGCTGGCTGCTTACACACACATGCAGACAGAGGTACATTCATATCTCCATGTATGTCTCTCCATCTTCGTGTGTATCAGTGCCGACCAGAAGCGCGCCCAGGCAATCCTGAACTTCCACCCGAAGGTCTCACTCGACGACGTAAGTTTCGATATAGACGCACAGACACTAACAGCAACAGCCGCCAGACGCATACCTGTGCCCCTCCCATCAATCCACTGGTCCATCAGGGCATCCGTCAGACGGTTCATTGGTACCTGATGTACCAGAAGCTCAACAAGGGCCTCACCAACGGCGTGTAGCCAGCTAGCTAGCTGCCCACCCAGCTAGACACACTCACCCATCGCAGAGAGGGATGGATGGAGAGCGATAGGGGCGACGCATGGATAGACAGCAGACGGAGGGACGTGTGTAGGGGAGCGACACGTACAATGAGGGCGGGAG